TGATGTTGATTAGTGGTACATTTATTTCCCAAGAACCACTTTGGGGCAGGCAAAGGGGGTATTACTCGGTGTGAAACAAAATTCAGAAAGAGGTAACAGAAGTCAAAACATGTTTGAGAACCACTGCTCGAGACCACTTCCTCAGCTGGGCCAGCTGACGTGCATACTTCTCTTGGCTCGCAATCACTCTATTAAAGAAGAGGGCTCCCAATCAACACAACAATTTAAGACGTGTTGCACGGTATACAGTGTCTTGCACAAGACAGCAGACTCAGGCCACCAAAACATACTTGATGGAACCCATGAGTTGACATCATGATGACCTCTTTTACGACAATCAAATCTCACTGAACGTACCGGATCTCCTCGGATCTTAGAAGCTAAGCAGTTGTTGAGCCTGGTTATAACTGGGATGGAAGATCTACCTGGACATATCAGGTGTAAGAGGCATGGCCTGTAAAGGTGGCCAGGAGAATGGCAGTACGGCAATTCAATCTTAAGTCGGCGTATGTAGCAAAGCTTTCAGTATTACCCTCCACATACGCATGTGCTCTCTCAAGTACTCCAGTTTCATCCCACACGAAGTCAAAGTAACTCAACAATGTAAACAACCAAACACCCCAATGCCAGACAGCTCTTGAAATTAATTCTGAAAGTCAATTAGGTTTTTTTTACATATTCCAGAGTATTGTAAAGATACTGTAAGTGACCATTTGGTAAAGCACAACATTTGATGGAGGTGTAACTACTGGCTAACTTCAAAACCGTACTTTTATTGGTAGCTATGTAGCGCTCACAACTCGACATATTCGCGTGAGATAACAAACAAAAGCCAAGATAATGTTTGGATACAGACTGCCACAAGATCTTCATCGCCAGTTGATGAACCCATGTCACAGAAGAGTATAGCAGTACTGACAACCATATCAACATTATGAGGGCAAGTTCTCCGATTGTGAGAACCCATCAAAGTGGGAACTGCACGGTGGGAGGCTAGCGGCTAACCACCTGGTGGAATAAAACTTTCCAGGTCAATGAGAAAGACCAAGATCTCCCGTATAGCCTGCAACAGACTGTTGGGGCAAGTGCTGTTAGCGAGCACTTATGAAGGCCGGAACGGTACACAAGGGAGTGGGTGGCCAGTACCACACCTGACCACCTTTGTCTCCCTAGTGGCAATGTTTATAAACCACATTAGGTACTCATTTAAGGCTGAGTCGACCAAGGGGAGGCCAATGACCAGTTCAGATAATCCTCACTGTTGTTGTTCATGAGTGGGAATTGAACTCGGGTGGCCAGGTTCATAGCGCAGAGCTCTAACCGCTACACAACCGCTCCCCACCGACACACACACGCATCCATGCACTTTAAGAGAGTGCTGTGCATGAAGAAATGCCAGCACTTGAGCAAACTTCTTCAAACACCATTACGCACTCATTCGCGAAATGCCGCTCGCACCGAAGACGACACATCAAGAACACGTATCGACTTTTCTTGCTCTCACACGACGTCCATCTATCCGTCTGTGGAAATTAAGCCATAGCTGGAGTGGCTTAACCAGCTTATTTGAATGCATAAATGCTTGATGAAGGCCCTTGAGCCACCACACTTGCACGCTGCTTACTCAGCGGTGCGTTAATTGACGACAGTGCGGCATTATTTTCCCTCGGCCGTAAACGTTTGCCCAAGATGGGACACGCACGCGTGTGCGTGCGTGCTCGCACACCGAAGCTCTCAAACACACGGATACAAAAACTAAACGTGAACAAACAGCCCCCCCCCCCCCTTCTCGGCCAAGAATAGACTTAAGGGAAAAGTTCTGTTGACAAAGTACCTCTTATAGTCAGCATGGCACATGATATGGTGCGGTCGGGCACCACACCTTCACTTCCCCAATATGGATAAAGAAAACAAAAATTGCGTGAGGTGATGACCTAAGAGAGACCCTCTCTTAGGTCATCACCTCACACGGGGAAAGAAAAACAATCCAGAGAGGCCCAGCATCAAACACATGGACGCATGGGATTGGCAAAAACCAGGAAAGTGAACGGTTCACACCCATTTCATCACAATTTGGGGTCATGATTAGAATGTTACATTTTTTTCTTATTTCATGTGTTTCCGATCTCCTGTCCGATTTAAATCTTATTTTTGCACCTCATTGGATTAAACGTAATACTGGCATATATTTAGCATTAATCATAAAAAAGAGTAATGTAGTCTTACTCAATTGTTTGCATGGAATGAGTATACAAAAGTGATTAATCAATATCTCACTGCATGCCTAATGCATACAATGTATGTTATCTTTCTCTATATCATACCAAGGACCCACCGTATAGCCTCAAAGACTGTTAGGGTAAGTGCTGTTAGCGAGCACCTATGAAGGCCGATACGGACAACACCACGCCTATCCACCTTTGTCTCCCTAGTGGCAATGTCTACACACCGCACCAGGTACTCATCTGAGGCCGATTCGACCTAAGGGGGGCGCAGGACCGGTTCAGATAATCGTCACCAGTGTTTCCCATCATACCACGCGTACACACGCGCAAGCAGGCGTAGAAACACAGGCGCGAGTTGCCTTCTTTCCACTCATGCTCATCGCTTCCTGGAATATGGCATGCCCAGACTAATTTCCACAATACCAATAAATGTTGACAATGTGAGGTCGTTTTAGGCAAAAGAGTCCTTTAGAGTTTACTCCCATCTATCCTCGGACTCCACGTAGCAAAGTGCGGAGGGGTGCGAGACCACGGCTAAACCTGACGCGGTCTATTCATTGAGTGTTTCAGGTTTATTATTTAATGTGTTAATGGCGGGAAAAGGTTCAGTTTGAATTATTTATGATTCACTTCCCACGAGCTATTGCATTAAATGCAGGTACAGCTGAATGTTAAGCTGCCATCACCACTCAGGGATTCCAAATCTAAAAGTTTATCAATGTTGCTAGACTCCTCACTTTCAGACTTCAACATCCCAAGGAAACATATACAATAGTCTCTTGGTTAACTTTTTAATCCGTTCCAAGACGACCGCTAATGGCATGAGTCTGCAAGAGAGCTGTTTCTACTGCCAAAACAGAAAGTGTAATGTAAACAAAGCCAGTCGAGGTCTAAACACCCATAAATGGGCATCGCCGATTGGCTGAGGGCATGGCTCAGCCCCACTTACGAGCCCTCGGATTGGCCGATATTGGCGCCCGCGTGCATAACGAGTTATATGATCAGTGCAGGGTGTTTCCTGGATTCTCATATTTGATTAATGATTGTCCTAGGAATTCTATGGATATTTCACACGCACCGTCTCTACACTTGCATGCTTTATTTGTACAGCAGCAGACACATCGGTGGATTTGCACAATAAATACGTGCAATTTTCTAAACACTGCAACGTTTTAATTTATTATTTTCTGCCACTAAGAGGAAAACGTTCTTTATGAATTTCCTCTCAGAAACCAGAATTTTTTTTTAATTAACTTGTTAGTGTCTTTTACTACATAGTGTCAAATTAATCATTAGTATAAATGCACCTGTGTTCATCATGTTTAAAAAACTGCAAGTAATAACTTATCACGAGCACAATTAGATTGCTTGTCATGTCAGGGCAATAAAATAAAAAGAAACATTTTATCAGAATATTTATACTGGAAGAATCCAATGAGCTATGAAGCTCTTTTCCACCCTGCGGGAGGCGACCTGCCGTACGACGAACTCTCGTCTACCCATTTTTACCGCTGGCTGGAAGGAGGCAGGGAGAGTACAGATACTTGCACCAATGTTGCAACTGCCGCTCCAGAAGATGGAGTAGAACCAGCAACCTCTGCGTGCTGACCAGCTCACCACGGCGGTAACGCCCCCTTGTTTCTCAGATTAAAAGGCGAACATTTGTACTTCTTGCTCGACATTTATATCTGCACAGGAAACCGATAACCGGTTTAAACAATTCATTTACCGGTAATGCCAAAACTTCCGATTTTAACAACCCTGCTAGGAATGGAACCCAGATCGCCAGCATCGCAGTGCAATGCACTCATCATTCCACCATGGCTACCCGCACATACAGTACAGCAAACACCGTATGTAGCCAACTGCGCTAATCGGAGGTACAAGTAAGTGGCAGTGACATTAGCATGTTCCAATTGGCCAAATTGGCCATAGTGGCCGGCTGGATTCAGCAACCTGCTTAGACTAGCCAACATAAATTCGAAAAAGAATCGCAATAGATTCCCAATCTATTGCACCAATCTTACCACGGCAGGATCACTGTTGGAATCTCTCATTAAATTGAATGTCGATTTTTTACATGGCAATCACCCATAGAAAGAATCGGGATTCCTGCAGGTGAATCTCCCAGCTCTGTTAGACGTAGGGGAGGCCCAGGACCGATTCATTGGTGTTGGCCATTAGCGGGAATTGGAAGTCGGGTCGCTGGGTTCGTAGTGCAGCGCACTAAACGTTGCACCACCGCTCCTCACCCGTTCTCCACACACCCACAGGATACGGAATATCATACTACAGTGCCTCTATCAACGTGATGGATGGCTTATACAACTGGCCCACATTGCTTCACAGGGAAACCTTATATGATGGCAAATTAAATATATTAAAAGAACATACTGCACTTAAAAGAATCAACGTGTCGATACATCGTGGTGGATGCGTACGCACATACTCGGTGTGCCCATGCTTAAAAGGAGGCTGGGTGACACTTGATTTAAATCGTTGGTCCAGCACCAACAGCGAAATTCCCAAGGTTCTATGACGGGCACCGGTTTACAGAACAACCCACTGTGGGCGACTTCCTGCGAGGTGGTGCAGTCTCACCAGGTGGGGCTCTCACTGTACCCACCGTGAAGCGATGGCACCAAAAGCGACGACGATGGGATCAGGTTGATCTTAGCGAGGATTTGAACTCGTGGTGATCGGGGGGGGGGGGGCCCTCTGCTATGACAACAGAATGCACAAGGAGGGGGGTTTGATCGTGCAAGTCACACCCACCATGGCGAACTTGAGCAGCGACCAGATGTCCTTCTGCCGCTTGTCCTGCATGCGTGTGAGGGCGCGGTCCGCCTCCTTCATGCACTCCACAGACTCCTCCAGGCGTGGCATCAGCGAGCTGATCTCATTTTTACAAACCACCATCTTACTGTGATCGCACGCACAAGCAAAACAAATCAAACCCCCCACGGTTAAAGGCACGCAATACGCACGCTCGTCTGACTGTGATCACACGTACAACAAAAATCACGATCTCACTTTCAGTGACAAAAGACAAAGATCCCCCGTATAGCCTTAACAGACTGTTTGGGGCAAGTGCCGTTAAGTGAGCACTTATGAAGGCCATTACAGCGCACGAGGGGGTGTGTGGCCAGCACCACAACTGGCCGCCTTTGTCTCCCCACTGGTGACGTATACACAGCACACCAGCTACCCATTTGAGGCCGAGTCGACCTAGGGAAGGCCCATGATCGGTTCAGATAATCGTCACTGGTGTTGGCCGTGAGCGAGAATCGAACTCGGGTTGCCGAGTTTGTAGCGCAGCGCGCTAACCACTACACTCCCACTCTCCCAATCCTGTTGTCCCTGACGCACACACATACACAGACACAAGCGTACCCTAGGAAGAGGCAGAGCTCCTTCATGAGTTTCTCCAAGTTCTGCACGGCATGTATTATCAGCTTCACCATCTCCACGCTGTCTCCATACACACGTTGGTCTGCAAAACAATGCACAGATGCCCGAGTATATCAGCCTGACCGACTGCACAGCCAACTGCTGAGCACCCATTAAGGTCGGCACGGCACATGGTGAGGGGATGTCAGTTACACCGCACTGCAGAGTGCTGACATTGACATGCTTGCTCCTTACGAACGTTTGAAGCCGAGCCGAGGCACTGGAAACCCAGGCAAGTCTCAGCCATCAATTGTCAATGGTGTAGCATGGCCAGGAATCAACGTCGGGACACAAAAGGTCACGCGCGTTATACACAAGGCGCTCTCAACGATGGGGTAACGATGGGGTAACGATGGGGTAAGGGCGATCGTTGCGAGTTCCATACCTCCCGCTGTGCTGCAGCCAAAGACCCAAGATTAGAACTCAACAATTTAATTGTAAGGAGAACCTGCTGCTATAGCCTAAATTTAAGTGCAAGAGAAATAGCTCGCTTTAGACCAATTTAATTCAACTGATACAGCTGATAAATTTAGTCTTATGCAGTTGTTTTAATAAGGAGACTTTGGTTATTACTGTAACTTATGTCTGTGCGATTTCAGTCAACACTTAATAATGAATGAGGCATATGATTTATGGTGTGGTGCTCTTCTAATGTGTAGTTGTGCAACAGTGCCAAGATCTTTGATCACATGATATATATGCCATCTAGCAGCAAGGCCTGGGGGAAAAACATGTGGCACGCGAGTACCAGGATCGTGTCCCATTCACGATGTAAACGTGACCAAAATCATACATTGGGTCAATTCGTAATAGATTTTTTGGTCAGATGGCCAGTTAAATTTGTGTTGTATACCCTCCTCCACCTGACACCGCCAAAAAATAGTAGGATGCCTGTTTACATGCTTACCTGTCACCTTAAACAAAATGAATATCAAGGAGCCGAAATGGATGTCGTTAATTTAAATGCAGATATGATCAGTAAACTGCTGCAGTCTGTGCTCCTTCAATGGAGAAATAGCAAAACTGCACGACCGTTCTCCTTAAGCCCTCTCGCGCAGACTTCGACATTAGCTCGTGAACATAGCTTCAGCACAACGGTGTGCTGGAGAGCACCCTATTTCAAGTTCATTTATTAGGTATAGCCCTGTGAGCCATTCGGCTCTTGAAATCGGGTGCAACCGCAACAAACAAAAAACTAAAACATGAACAAAAAACATCTAAAAGTGAATATGTGACTAAGTGCAAATAGAAAATCCAATAAAAGACAGCAAAATATTGCAGAAAAAACATATGAGTGACGTTTTGCATTTACAACTGCAACTGGTGTCATCAGGCAGTTGCCAGAATTGTGTTAAAATACATTGGGGTACAAAAGTGTAAAAAAAGGCCCATAAACACCCTCCTAATTCAAATTCAAAATACACTCATATTTACAGAGAGAAAATGGTATGAGGATTATGGGTGAGCGACCTATAAGAATAGAGATGCTGGGCGGTGGTGGCTATGCTGCATGTGGTCTGTAATCCAGCACTGTGGAGGCGAGGGTGTATAGCTCACACAAATGTTGCGAGGCTCCCTTTGCGTGGGCATTGAGGGACAATACCCTGGCTTGCTAGCAGAATGCGGTACAGCAAAGTGTGGACTGATACCATCTGTCCCTTCTGTATTGGATAAGAGTGTTGCCCCCCCCCCCCGCCCCCCAATATTCGAGGGTTTTCTCCGGGTGTTTCAGTTTCCTCCCACACATATAAACAACACTCACAAATTGGCGGAGAACATCTTGATATACAGAGAGCTGCAGAGCAATTGTCGGCATCTGCTCCACCTGGCAGCCTTCCGGCTAGTCTGTGATTCCTACTCAGCGATTGAGATGTGCAATTTACAAGAACGAAGCAAAATAAAATTTAGCATTAGATATTTTTTCAGATTGCAAAGAACGCTTGTGCGTAAAGTCTGAGTAAATATAAGCTAATGGCCTCGCTTGTGCTTCCCTCATTAAACACGTGCACAAACATTGCCACAAACAGCAAGGTTTAATCGTACAGCCGAGGATCCTGCTACCTTTGCTTCATATCAAACCAATTGAATTCATGTGTATTCGTAACACAAGCACGTGCACAGATGCACGCGCGTGCGTGCACATGAATATGGGGATTTAAAAAAAGTTGTCATTTATCAAAGTAATTATACGCATGTATTTCGATCACTCATTCAATATGTTTTTTTTACATTACAAATGTATTATGTAAATCATATGTGGGGAACACAATGTAAAAAGTGTATCACTACAAATCTGTGATGTTGTTCCGAGAATGAATCTCCCTCGCCGGATGACACTGCATCTGTTCTTCTGCAGCGGGAATATTCTGCCGATTTTAAAGCCTTGATTAAACACTATTTTGATATCAGAAACGTATCGTCCCAATGACCAACTGTTTTTGTTTTAAACAACCGTGTAAAAGGTCTGTTGCCATGTTCTTGGTGGGTATCTGGCACAGTCATCACAGTTAGAGAAACCGAGACGCAGTAGTATTTGGTTTAACACGTAGGCTTTCGTGACAAATATCATCCATAATAGAGGTTTTTGGGTTAGATCGCGTAAATATATAAATGTGTCGTTAACCCGCCACCACCCGACACAGCCAACTAGTAAGGGCTGTCACGTAAACAGAACGTGCCAATTCGTCACTAGTACAGCACAATCGGTGTGTTGGAGAGCCAAGCCACAACATTTACAAACTGAGTATGACGTTTCGCCAGTAATTACAACTAGCGTCATTAAGCGACAGGCAGATTTGTGGAGAAGTCCACCTGTTTCGTTCCTTATATAGAGGCGTAGATGTGTTGACCACGCTTCTGTGCTCTTATACAATGTGGGGGGGGGGGGGGGGATTACTGAGGCAACGTACATTATGCATGTGCATTATGCGAGCCCTTTGAACTTGTCCTTCCTATCTATTGAAGTACGCTGCCCTTTGTAGGCATGCATTTAAATCATGTATTATTTGATGATTCGTGTTCACGCATCATTAAGACGGTAACTATCCGAACGGTTAAAGTTATTTTTTATTTCTATTTTAATGAACACAATAGACAGGAAGGACAAGTTCAAAGGGCTCGCATAATGCACATGCATAATGTACGTGGAATATAATCGACACAATTACACAGCAATCAGCTGATAATATATTTAACAAAACTAACACTACCCAATTAAAAAAATGTATCTAAAGGTCTTAACGTTGCTGTTGCCCCAGGTACAATCCCTCTGATATGGAATCAGCAGTGAGACAACTCCCTCATAATCAAGCTGAGATGACGAGGCACGAGGTTGCCAAAATTATTGAGAACAGCAAAGTGCCAAAAACAAATATTAACTGCAATGAAGCAAAAGCCTTAAGAGAATTGAGAGCAAATAACGATATCCAAATTCTTTCTGCTGATAAGGGCCGATCGACTGTTGTGATGCCCCGTGAGGATTACGATAATAAAATCATAGATTTACTCGATGAAGGTACCTACCTTAAAATTAAACGAGACACAACCAGCACCTTGGAACGTAAAACAACGGCAATCATTGCCAAGTCATCAATTGCCAAAAAAGAGCAATACCTGACTGATCAAACCAAGGGCATCAAAACCACCAAGACTGCATGGGCTACCAAAAACCACAAACGTGATGTCCAATTAAGATCCATAGTACAATAGGCTCTGCCACGTACAAATTAGCACAATACGTAACGAAACAAATACAGCCCTACATCGGTAGGACCTCTTCGTTAATCAAAAACTCTGAACATCTCGTAAATATAATTAAAGATATTAAGCTTAATCCTAACGATATTCTCATAAGTTTTGATGTGACTTCTCTGTTCACGAGGGTTCCGGTCAACGAGTCAATTACATTACTCGACACTGGTAACGAACAACGGTTTAGCCAAAGATATCCCAAGACTAGCTGAACACGGTCTAAAGAACACCTATTTATTGTAGCAAGGTGATTTCTATAAACAAAAGGAAGGACCAGCAATGGGCTCTCCTTTGTCTCCTGTGATAGCGAATTTGTACATGGAAGATTTGGACACAAAAGCAAGGCTTCAAAGCACACTAAAACCATCTGCTTGGTTTAGATATTTGGATGACACATTGGTGGTCTGGCCACACGGCCAAGATGCACTGAACGCATTTCTAAATCATCTCAACTCGCAAAACCCATCCATCCAGTTCACCATGGAAGTGGAAGCTGACAGAACTCTACCATTTCTGGATATTCTGCTCGGACGGGGTAGAAATGGTAAAAATAACACACAATGTTTACCGAAATAAAACGCATACTGACACCTATCTGAATGCAGAGCCACACCATCACCCGCACAGAAATATGCTCTTATCAAGACGCTCATTCATCAAGCTAAGAAAGTGTCAGATGGTGACAGTCTGAGATGTGAAATTCAACATGTCAAAGAAGCGCTGCAAATGAACGGTTACAATGATGCACAAATCAACAGGGCATTGAATGCCAAAACAAATCAACTAACATTGCGGGAGTAACTGACAAACTAACCAGATGTTTGCCAAAACAACACATCCGAGTCAGATTTGGCAGGGTAAATAAAATACAGAATCTAATATCTGGTACAAAAGATGTATTACCGTAGCTATCAACAGAAGGTGTGTACAGGATTAACTGCACGTGTGGTAAATGTTGTGTTGGGCAAACAGGACGAATGATCAGCACGAGACTAAAAGAAGATCAGAGATATATTAAATACTCCCAAATACAACTGTCAGCAGTAGCAGCACACGCGTGCCAACAAGGACACTCAATTGATTTTGATAATGTTGAAGTTTTGTGCAAAACTAGCTACTACCGTCCAAGACTAATTAGAGAATCTATCGAAATTGAAAGAAATCAAAATAACTTTAACCGTTCGGATAGCTACCGCCTTAGTGCTGCGTGGAAGCGAATCATCAAATAAGTCATTATTTAAATGCATGCCTACAAATGGCAGCATACTTAAATAGGGATTACCGTTGGTTCGGCTATTTTAATAAACACAATAGAAAGGAAGGACAAGTTCAAAGGGCTGGCATAATGCACATGCATAATGTACGTTGCCTCAGTAACCCCCCCCCCCCCCGCCACATTGTGCAAGAGCGCAGAAGCGTGGTCAACACGTCTACGCCTCCACATAAGGAACGAAACAGGTGGACTTCTCCACAAATCTGGCTATCGCCTGATGAAGCTAGTTGTAATTACTGGCAAAACGTCATACTCAGATTGTACATGTTGTGGCATGGCTCTCCAACACACTGGTGTGCTGTACTAGTGATGAATTGGCACGTTCTGTTTACGCGACAACCCTTACTAGTTGGCTGTGTCGGGCGGTGGCGGGTTTTAACGACACATTTATATATTTACGCGATCTACCCCAAAAACTCTATTATGGCAGTAGTATTTGGTATTTATTTGTGTTTCCGTAATCTGACGGAACCAAATGCGTTCCATGGCAAAAGAGGCTTTTCTAAACTCAGCTCGATCATGCAGTTGGCTGGTCTGCAAATTGTCAAAATATAAAAATTTCTGCAAAAGCAGTACCTATCATATAAAACAGTTTTTCGAATGTCTGCTTTTAAGAACTATATATTATACTCGTTCATAATGCCTGTCCTCGCCAGGCAAAAGTTTTCAATAAATATAATAATTAACCTGATGATTTTTTACAATGTTTATCTATGATCAGACACTAACTACTCCAAAAATGTGTATGTTTCCGCAAAAAAATACTATTGTTGATGACTTGATTCAACTTCTTAATTTAAAGACATACCCCTGGGCTACTGCTTAATTTAAAGATTCTATTCTTTAATTATTAGAAAGACTAAAAAATTAATAACTCAATACTCTATGAGGGGAAGCTCTCCTATCTTTTACCGTTTTCGAATTATTCGGATTTGAACATCATTAAATGCAGATTTTTGTCGCTCAAAACGGCTTGAATCCGAAAAATCTCAAAAACAATCAACATAGAACAATGATTCTCGCTTAAATTTTCTGACATGCACAAACATGTTTATGGGGCACTTAAAATTGATATTTGGCGGCCTTAAACTTACAAAAACCTCGGATTTTATGATTTTTCTGTTGTTTGTGTCCTAAAAGCAACGAATGTACCAAGCATCAGCTTTCTACCTTGTCGAGAAGGACCCCAGAGGTTTTGAGACATACAGATTAAAGTCTTTATTATATAGAAGATATGTTTAGACCAACTAACTTGCCGTATACAGATGCCATTTGTATACTTCCTGAGGAGCATTCGTAAGCATGCTTAGCTTGAGTTACAAATAGCACATGCGGACATGGCACATAATTGTGTTATATAAGTAATTTGAAGGCAGGAATTAACGATAATCGAGGCATCCTTTTTACATTACAGCCTACAACCTCCGGCCAAAAAGTGATGCAATCAACCAATTTAGCACAACGCGCGCTGGCAAAAGCACTTTATTATAAGCGCTTGGTATGCTTGCTGAAAATACATTGACTGGTTTGGTTTAAAAATTGATGCGCAATCACTTTAAGGGCGAACAGCAATAGGTAGCGGAGTACACCTCACTTGCTCAGCATGCTCAGCACCGAGCCAGAATCGGAGTCGATAGTTTCATTCCTGTAGCCGCCCCGTAATTTTTACGGAGGAATTAGTAAAGTGAACGTCTGCTGTAAGTGATGAGTGTTAAATGATGTCGCGGCACTTACATGGAGCCACTGTGCTGTTTTTCAAAGCTCAACATCGACATTAAAAATTATAACGAATTTAAAACGGCGAGTCATTTTACGCTTTGGCCATCCTTAACTCCCGCTGTGCGCCCGTGAGAGAAAGCGGCGTGCTCGCCGCCACGGGTGACAGCGCGCGAAAAGTGTGCAGCCGGGGCTGCGTGCGCACTGAGCGTCGGCGCAAAAGCCTCTTGGGAAAAGGATACAATCCCTGTAGTCAGCCACGGTGGAGAGATAGTAACTACCTAGCCTGGTATGCAGGAGGTCGCGGGTTTGAACCCGGCCCTGGCAATGCCTGTATATTGAGTTTGCGTGTTGTCTCTGCCGGTGGTTGTGTGCATTTTACTCCAGGCGCTCCGGTTTTTCCCTCCACATTTAAAATCAACATGCGTTTAGAGTCGTGGGCTGCTAGAAATTTCCACTCGATAAGGTCACTTCTTAAAAAGCGGCATATAGCTCAGTGGGCCTTTCCTGTTAAAATAAAAAATAGTTTTAGTTTTAAAATTGGCTGAGCACTTCCCTAAAGAAAACATTACCAACTTAACAGAAATCTCATATCGAGATCTCATATGGAGATTTCGAGGTGACAAACCCCAGAAAATGATAGCATTGATTGTCGCGAATAAGAATGATGTAGTGTGTCGTTGTGCTGTGCATTGCGATAACAGCCTTGGGGTTCTTGTGTTTTTTTAAATAGAATTTCTGGATGGTCCCTGGAGCAGAGTTTATACTTATGGAGCATGCTGGAAAGCCGCTGTCTGGACAGCGCGATTCAGTCCTCTGTGCCTTGTGACAACCAAGCTGGCAAGAAGCGATAAACAAATAATTGAACACGTCCGCTTTATGAATTAAACAAAGAATTGCTAAGACCAACGCAGGAGGATTTATCCACAACTCTGGCTGTCACCAGATGATGATGGTTGTAATTACCAGCGAAACATCGTGCTCAAATTGTAAATGTTGTGGGTTTACACACCAACACACAGGTGTGCTGAATTCGTAAGAAATTGGAATGTTTTCTTTAAGTGACAAACCTTACTAATTGGCTGTGTCTGGTGGTGGCGGGTTTCACGACACATTTATATTGACGGAATCTAACCCAAAAACCTCTATTATGGACAATATTGGTCTTGAAAGCTTACTACGTGTTAAACTGAAAGAATTGCTGTTTTCCAAGCATCTCCTTCTCCCTCTCAAACCCTGAAAAACGATCAGGACATCGCGCGCACTGAAGCGTGCTTACCGCTCGGCTTCTCTCGCAGTTGTTTGTACAGCTCCATTGCCTTTTGCTCCCTGCAAAAGTAAAAAAAAAAATCCGTTGTTTAGAGTGGTTAGACAGACAGGGAATTATGATGACGGTGGCTTTTAAGCATGTGAATGTGATGCAGCCAGCAACACCCCGGGGGTCACATTCGTCTCCCCGGTGCTGGTGCCACCACGTGGTTTAATTTTTTTTTATTATAACTCAACGCGAAGCTGCTACAAAACCCCCCCTGCAAAACGGGGTGGAAACTCCGCGCCAGCGACCCGCTCGATTTCGGTGCGACAGGTGCCCAATGAAGGGGAAAAATTGGGCTCACTGCTCCCACTCAGGTTGGGACCACGTGTGCGCAGATGGGGCATGAAGATTTAAACAGGGAACACATCTTTTACCAACAGGTGGCTCTCAGTTTAGCCCGAGTTGACTTACAGGATAAAACAAATGGCGGGTACTATCTAATAAGCTGTGTGTTATATCACTACCCATAGTAATAATAATTTATAATTCAAACTTGTCCAGTATCTGCTCACTGTCGTAGAGAGTGAACGACCGAGGGGCACGGGGAAGCGTAGGATTGAAGAAAAGCGGAAGGCACACGTGTTGGAGTGATGGGGAGGGGTGGTGGCACGCACGTGTGGGGAGGTGAGGGGATGTGGGTGGTAGGGGGGTGGTGGGGGGGTGGTGGGGGGGAGGTGGGGGGGAGGTGGGGGGGTGGTGGGGGGGAGGTGGGGGGATGTGGGTGGTGGGGGGTAAGTGGGGGGGAGGTGGGAGGATGGGTGTGGTGGAGGGGTGGTGGGGGGGGGGGTGGCGTCACACACGTGTTCTCCAGCACGTCGCCTTGCCGCCGCGCTGTGGGGCTGCGCTGCAGTGCGACGATCTGTCCCTGCACGGCCAGCAGCTTCTCGTCCACCTCCACCACCTCCGTGTTCTGGGTTCAAGGGAAGAGGGGGGGTGAACGAAAGTAAACGTGAGGCTCTCATTTTACAACGTCCGTAAACGCGGGGATGCTGCCCCGAGGTATAATGGTCAGCGCGATTTGATCTCCTGGCGTGGCAGCTGAAACAATCGTGTATTGCAAGTTTATTTTTTTATATTCTTGAACGCACAGACGGGATACATTCTGCACGAGTCAACTCGTGACCCCGTGCTCTGTGGCCTGTTGTAAAGAGTCTGCTGCACTCCAACCACACATCAACTTAGTGAACCTGATCAGAGCACGGGACTCGCGACGTACGTCGCCAAAGAAAAGTGACGATCAAGACGACAGTTTCTAACTTGAAGGCAATGGCATTGTCCCGGTCTGCCATCTGAGTTTGATCAACCTGGAACCGATGCAAAACTCGAGACCCTGGCATCAACGTCGGTAGCAGAGTTGTCGATGTTCATCGCACGGCTATATTAAGCTTCACCAGTGGTGCTGGGTTTATTATCTTTTAACAGGCAATGCATTTTGCGAACGTTCCCAAAACACAAACTCCTATTCGCTCCTTGAGCCTCTTCGTTTTTACAACTCCCTCGGGCGATTTAAATCCAGTTGAGCTCTGCTCCGGGATAGGATCAAAATCTCTAAACGTTATTAGATTGTTACATTTTTGTCAGCATAATTTTGGTATTTTCCCCAGGTTTGAGATTGCACTTTTGCTATCAGTTAGTGTAAGTGTCATCAGAGCAAGCGTCTGTTCTGAACGCTCGCAGAACAATGCATCACTTCTGAGATCGCCTTCAAGAGATCTTTTGATCTACACACTCGAGGCACTCCCTCATGCACCCCCGCTCGAGATAATAATTTGTTGCGTGGCAGTCGAACTGGGATTTTCTTTTTCATTTCAAAGAGCTGGAATTCAGGCAAATTGAGAGAAAAAGCAAATTTAATACGACGGGTTTTTTTGTGCAGTCAGCAGAGGTCGCAAACGGGTTTTGATTCCTTACCCGTACCCGGCCGCACCAGGGTCGCAAACGGGTACCCGTACCCGGCCGGGTATCGGGTACCCGATTGCGACCTCTGGCAGTCAGTGCTGATTAGACCGAGACCAACAACCTCGCTACATCTGAGAATCCAGTTGAATCGCGGGTGACCGCCAGGATCAGAACACAGACTCAGTGGTGCCAGCGCAGTGCTCCAACTCATCAGACGCCCAGCCACCACAGCAGTTCAGTTTTTATTTAAGTGTTATCTACACTTGCATTGCTGACAAAGATTTACATCCGTAGTCACTTTTGACTCAAATTACTCTGTTGGAAGTGGAAGTCGCACATTTTCAAGTGCCTCTCCAAAAAGCACTGTGTAGTTTACTTAAGAGGTGATTTGAAGTTGAAGGATTGATTGCTTATGCCGTGCAGCTTGAACGTCCGTGCACTCCAATCGCTTCAATCGTTACGAAAAGTGAATTGGATCAGATTATCGGTTCCATGAATTTTGAAATAAAATTTCGATTCCAAAAAGGATCGTCAATACCATCATAACAAATGAACAACCCGGATATGTATGTGCGTATGCATGTTGAACTTATTTCGCATCGTACGAAGCCAACCATGCCAAGTGGAGGTGCGGGATAGCAACTGGATACTAACCCTAACGATGCAAGGAAAAGATGACAGAGATAGAAACGGAGTGAAACCAAATGCGATATGAAGCCGTACAGACAGCAACGAGATGACCAAATCAAGCTAAAAGCAATGGCCCAGTTTGGCTTGGCAGCACACGCCAACAAACAGTTTTGCATCCGATATGTTAACGAGCGATAATGGACGGAATCAGACCGACCGAATGCATCCGCACCATGACGAGCGAGTGAGCGTGCGGGCGGTGACGCAAGGAAGGGATTGGTTTACGCAGCGCAAGGGGAAGCGATTTAATTTTTACGTTTAAAAAAAAAAGATGACAACAAATATTGGTAATTGCCCACGCGCGATGGATAATCGTGATAATGCATTGCACTGTCCAGTAAAGAAACCTTGCGCTCAAATGTGCTCGCACATTCTCCGCGATGTGCAAAGATCGAAAATGGTAGTGAAGCGCTGATGTGGTGTTCGTGTCAATATGGTCTATAGATAAACTGTTTGAGCATTTTATATTTTTATCAATCCCCACTTATGGCATTTTAGTTGTTGCATGCACCATTTTCAGCCCACATTAGCTTTTCACCACCACCTATTTCCAGTTACACCGTCACCATAAATGTTTATTAAAAACATGTTTATAAAACATTCATGGGATGGTACAACAGCATTATTGACCTACGGGGAAACTATAGATAGGGTTTCAATTAGATGCTATAAAAATCCAAACCGTACTTAACTAGTGTTTGCTACAGCTCCATTTTCTGGAGCGTGCAGTTGCATGGGTACGAAACATAAGGCAGATAGGGACTCTACAGGTGGCTACTCTGCGCTCCGAACCCGGGATTTTCCGCTTAAGTGCTCCCACCATCTGTTAATCTGAGGCTGAACATTATCTCACAGCATTGGAGCATCAAGCTAATTTGTGCTGGAACTGTGGGCACACATTTTCAGAATTACCTCCGAGTTACAAAATTACCCGAATGTCCCTATCTCATGCCTGTCAGGGCAAAAGGTCCCGTAACTAAACACGGGGCCCGTCATAATGCGTCCGTAATTCCTAAAGGATAGCCAGCTGGTGCCATGTTTATCAATCTTCAAAGGGCTTCTGTTGATGAACGGGGTGATATTATCTAAAAGGTCACCTGCAGCCAATGCATTTGGGCACTTTTTTGTTCAAAGTCCTGATCTTCAAAAAGTAAATACAAAAAATTGTATTCACCTCTACTTCTGTTGATTTTGGGCATAATTCCTTCCCTGTGCTGATCTGAGGAAAACTGCTTGTGGTTATAGATTTATTACAACTCGGGAAACATTTTATAGATAAACAGACAATATATCTCTGACACATCTATCTCAGCAGATAAAAAAAACTTATATTTTTATTTAACACAACCCACCAGCCCAACATAACTTACGTTTGGCTGATAAGTCACAATTGTGTGGCGAGTCACAAGCTGTCAGCTGCAGCACAATTAGGCAGATATGGCTCTAAATCCTGGCACGCCCAGAAAACGCATAGCGGGCTCTATCGCTGCGTCCCGACACGGCAACCCCTGATCCCGTGAGCCCATCCAGACGCATCGCATTCAAGCGAATTTCATCCAAATTGGGTGGCGCCGAGTTGACGGCGCTTGCTTCTTAAGGATGAGATTTTAAATTCCAGTTACGGGCAAAGTCAACCTGTTATCCCCTCTTGCGGGTGATCTCGACCTATCATCCCCTCTGTGGGTCTCTCTAAACGAAAGGTACGCCCCCCTACCCATATCTGTACCTCCACCTACAATTATAAGTTTGATGCAAACTATATAATACGTACTTAAAGCTTTCGTGACTGCAGGAATTCATATTCTTGGGTCTTTCGGTAAAGTCACATAGATAGGTTCAAAGAAAATAACAAAAAATAACAAAAAACTACGACGTTTCAAAATAAAAAACGTTTCGATCGCAACACAAGCTTGTGTTGCGATCGAAACGTCATTGTTATATTCTTTGAACCTATCTACGTGACATTACCGAAAGACCCAAGAATATATAGAATACGTAAAACAATAATGGTTGTCTTGCATTAGTATTGCATATAACTAGGAATTATATCTAACAATGGGGGGGGGGGGTCTCCTTCCCTCTAGACATCTGGCAGTTCACCAGCATTGCTTCAAGTAAGCCCCATTCTGCTGCTGAGACACCAATGTAAGAAACCGTCCCTGAAATAAATCACTCCTAGAAGTCCGTGTGAGCGATGGGATGTGTAAATAACAAAAAGTTTTCATACAGAGAAACAGATGTGGGAAGGAGGCATATTTTACGTTTATCTATTTTGCTACTTGTAGTCTCCAAAACGCTAAATTATAATTCCGTGTTAGACGTTGTTCTCGGAAGACACTGGCATTTCATTGCTTGTTTGAAATGGGAGACAATCCCTCGTTCTGGTGTTCACTTTGAAGATTTCTCCGCGACGCGTAACAGGGGCAATGCTCCCGCGGACGGAGGACGCCACCCACCTGCACCAGCGCCTTGGCCTTCTCCTTCATTTCCAGCCACGCGCTGTGCATCTTCTTTGAGGCTGTGCAGAGCGCACGCCAGCAGAGACACGGACAAATTAAGAACTTCACAACAGAATACATTTTACAATTGAAATCAAATGGCCGAGTGCGCTGTAAATGCCTTTCGTTCATCACCCATGGCAAATACAGTACTAAATGGGATTATTTTTGCCAGTATCAAAGTATGAATAAGTTTGTGTGGTTAACGCAAACTGGATTCCTTGCAAAAGGTTTCTATTTGGTGTTTGAAAATCTTTACACCTGTTTTATCGCCAGAAAGGGTCAAACCTATTCTTGTTTTTTCATAAGTACAGGACTAGCAAGTAACATTTACTCCTCACCATCTCCCTAGTTTTGCATTCTGTGGAGGTAGTGTTGATCATGACCTTGGGAAGAAGTATCTCTTGAATAAGTACTTCCGGCTGCTGCTGCTGCTGCTGCTGCTTTGAGTTAAAGTCTTACAGAGCTGAGAGCTGCGTTGAAAGCCGGATTGACGAATGAGGCTGTGCATTGATTCTCTCATTTCATTACACTTTTAGAGCTGTGCTGGCCACATTTTAGCGGCCTGTTTCAGTGAAACCATTGGCCGAATTAAACGCAGTCGTGGGCAGAATGCGGCCGATTGGCTGCAGTTTTGGTTTGTTTTTTTTAAAACACAGCTGCTAAACACAGGCCCCAAATCGGCAAGCAACAAAACAGCACTGTCACATTTGTAATATATATCGAGTTAACACATTTCTTGCATTGACGTACGAGCTTGGGGAAGGAGACGATGGGAGGGAATTACAAAGTGGAGCAGTGCGAGGGAAGAAGAGAAGTGTTGTGACCTGCAGTGTGGTGGTTTAAGGTGTGGGTGATATGAAAACCAGTCTGGTAGACCGGGTGGACGAGGAATCAAAGAGTAAAGTTCAAGTGAACAGTAACACGGTCGTAGCAATAGAAGTGATGAACTCAACTATTTTAATTCTACCAAGTCAGGGCCACCAAGCTATATAGCTCTTTTTCAGAAGCCACCAGCCACAAATGATAGCTCAACGAAGTGGCTTATCGCGTGTACATTTACAGCGGCCATATTTCTAAATATGCAGGGAAAAACCAGAGGAACCTTTAAAAAAATGCCCGCAACAACAGGGAGATAGAGAGACACGCAAACTCCAAATACACAGACGTTGTCAGGGTCGGGATCGAAGCCACGAACTCCTGCATTCCAGACGAGGTACTTCACATCTCGCCATCATGGTCGCCACTGCAGATAGCGAGATAAGGAAGCGACTGACTGCCGGTGAGCGAGCATATGGAGTGAAGGCGTGCTAGATCCCCAATCACCCCGACAGCTTTACGCTGGACAACCCTGGCTTACAGCCTCTGTTTAGCAATATCTGCACTGTTCAAAAGAAAAAGCGAATGGCCTTTTCTTTTTCTGGTGCATTATGTAATTTAAAAGTTTTCCATTGCATTTTCACTCAGGTCTGCCTCGCAAGGGATATTAATGTCAACGAGCTCTCTCCCGAATCTTAAACATATCTTGCCAAACGATTGAGACTGATGGATGGTGCCAAATGGTAACAACCACTAGCCTCTCAGGAACACCAGAGGCTCCAAGCAACGTTTACTCAATGGCACAATTTGAGGTAAGACCTTGTATTAATGCGCTTTCATACAACGCGCTTTCACTATAACACTGTTCTTCTATTCGGGAGCACTTTTCTCACAATGTAGAACACGCCGTTATTACGTGGAAAATGCGCGCCCGTTATAATGCGGAATGCGCACCGTTATTACGCGGTTTCTGAGCACTTGACAAACTGCTTTTTTTTATCTGAGCGGTATAGTGATACAGTATTCGGCGACGTACCCTCATCACAATTCTTTGTCCCGCCATGGGATGACTGCAGGCTGATTTTATAGCGCAAGTGTGATTCAGAACGGTAATACCTCGCTCAAATGTGGTTTTCTTTTATCTGCGCCACTTTTTAGTAATGCATCTACTACCACATTAAAACGAAGGGTTACTCGTTGCCAGGTGTAAATCGAATGCAAAAAAAACCCATCTCTGTGGTCACTACAGGAAGATGCAACCCTGTTCCTAGGCTGTGCGTGGCAAAAAATTCGAATCTCAGCCATGAAACGCTCAGGTGTATTGCAATAGCGCCCTCGAGTGACAACATCACCACGCTGGAGACCCCTCAAAATACATTCACAAGGGGGTGACAGCCCCTCGGTTACCCCGGCTATGTCACAATATGCAGGGCACGGTAGGAGCCGCTCAACGTTATTTAAATAGACCAGCGTGCACTTGGGAATATGAAACCTGTCGAGGTGGCACATCAGCCCGTAGCCGGAATTCAAGTGGTGAACGTGCGTATTTTCTATTGGCAGAAGCGGATTTCGACTCGATACTGGAACAGGATTCGCACCCAATCGTTTTGTTTAGTGTATCACGCAGGCTTTTGCGACCAATATCATTCATCAGAGGTTTTTTTTAGGGTTAGATCGCGTAAATATAAGCGTGTTGTTAAACCCGCCACCAGCCGACACAGCCAATGGGTAAGGCTTGTCACATAAACAAAACATGCCAATTCGTTACTAGTTCAGCACACCCGGTGTGTTGGACAGTAAAGCCACAACATTTTAAATTTTTGTTTGGGTTGCATTTTCCTTTCGAGGAGGAAAGGGCTACACAGGGGCTGCCCATCCATGCCTTCGAGCCCACTCGGCATGCCCTCACAGATGCCGGAGTTCATCTGCTCCTCGTATTTCTCCAGGTCGAGTTGAAGGCTGCTGAGGAAGAACTCGAGCTTGGCCTTGAGCTGCTGAGCCAGGGCGGCCGTGAAGCTGCGCAGTTTCGTCAAGCTGCTGTTGTAGCGCAGGAGGCTGAGCCTGCATGTTGGGGAGAGCGCGTGCGTGTGGCGAGCGTGTGTATGTGCAGGTGCGTGTGTGTGCATCGGCGTGTGTGGGGGTGTATAGTGTGCACGACACGTGTGTGCGCGTGAGAGTGTAGCGTGTGCGTGTGGTCATGCATGGAGGTTTAGTGTGTTGTGTGTGGGGTGTATCGTGTGTTTGTGTGCGTGGGGGTGTAGTGTGTGCGTGTATAAGGTATGCATGTAAGTCAGAATGAGGGAGTGGATAATCATGTTAATTTAAACTCAATAACAACAACATATATTTACCAAGGTGCTGTTTAAAGTAGCCAGGCGTCTCAAATCGCCGCACAATTGGAAAAGCACAAACTGGACATTGAATTGAGGTAGGAAACAACTCGAGGAAGGTGGAAACTCCACGAATTGCATCTGGAACTCTGCACGACTGCATCGAGAGAAAGAAAGTGATGAGGTAAAGTGATGAGCGATAAAGTGATGCAAGAAAGTTATGAGCTAAAGCGATGAAATAATGTCCATGTATTTAATAGTTTATTTACATATTTAAGGGCATTATTTAAAATATTTAATGGTTTTCGAATAAGGAGTGAATCCCGCCCAGTGATTGCTGTGAAACTCTCCATTTCGGCCTGTCACAGGCTCTAGCGTGGCATGTCAGCAATGGCCCAGTGAGGCTTCAGGATTTTTAGGGCAATATAGTTATTACACAGGACATTGTCGGTAAACTAATCAAAGTGAAATAACAAGTACATTTGTATGTGCAAGCATGCATGGCAGCCGTCGCAGTATAATGGTATATCTTCTTGGTTCTTTCGGTAAAGTCACGTAGAAGGGAAATAATAAAATAATACAAATAAAACATAATAAAACACGTGACTTTACTGAAAGAACCAAGAAGATGAATCCCTGCAGTCACGAAAACTTTAAATCGAAATTTATAATGGTATACTTTGGAAAAATAAAGCAATCTTAGTGAATTATCTCATCAGCTTCAGTGTATTCCCTTGCAGACAACAATTAAAGTCCATTAGCCATAACGGTGGTTTCAACAGTGTGTAATTTCAAGATCAAATTAAAAAATAATTATTTGTTATTTTAAAGCAATGTTCTGCGCTGTGAATTCCCATGAGATGCACACAGTAAGAGCAATCAAGCACCTGCTTGGCCTCGTCGTTAACGTTCACGAATGGGCTCATAGAGTTTAACTGCAATTGAAACATCATTTTAAATGGAAATTACCAAAGCGAACTTCCATTATTATTTTCTGCACGTTTACCCAGGAAAGACTCAATGAGTCTCAAGACACTTTTAAGGAGGGTCCTACCAGGTTTTTGCAGTCGAGGGTGATGTTGTTGCTGTGTGTAATCCCGATTGCGTTAATTTGCAGGTAATTATTCAGCAATGGGATGTCCGGCCAATACCAGTTCAATTTTGCAATGGGGAGGAAAACCAGAGAACCCGGAGAAACCCATGTAGAACAGAGGGGGGGGGACACACAAACTCCGCACAGAAAGGTGCCCGAGGAGGGAGTTGAACCCAGGCACTTCTTGCTAATGAACTGCAAGTGTTAACAACTGCGCCACCACCCTGCCGCCGTGAACACAAACCTTAGAAAGTGTCACAACGTAGAAGATTAGGAATATTGTCTTCAAGTCTCACCATCAATATTTTACGTCTTAAATCACATCCACAATTAATTGAAGACAACATCTCAAATTACGTGCAGGTAAAATGGTGCGGGGAACGGTTACAGTGGTTAACCCGGTGAACTGCGTTCGATTCCCATGCAGGGAGCGGTTGCACAGTGGTTAACCTGGCAACCCGAGTTCAATTCCCGTGCATGACCTGTAACAGTGGTGAAATTTTTACCCGGTCCCGTCCCTCCCGGGGGTCGACTCAGCCATAAATGCGTATCTGGTGTGGTGTGTAAACATTCGCCAAGAGAACTTGCTCTCAGTCTTTCGAGACTAAACTAGGGGCGTAATGCTTTGCGTGTCGAGTTGGGGCAGCGGATAGTTTACGTACATGGCGGCCCTCTGTCCCTGCTGCAGGCGGCCCAGGTGCTCCTTCATGCTGCGCACGTAGTGGTAGGCCTGGCCAAACGCCCTGCGCTGCTGCATGTACGACAGCAGCGTCTTCGACTCGGACACTGGCGGAGAGGGAGGGCCAGGTAGAGACGCGCACTCAGACGCTACAAACCTGTCGATGAGGAAGGTGTTTGCAAACGAATGCACACGCCGAGTGTTTTCAATTGAGATAATTTAATTTGGCCTCCAAATATCATCGGAAGGAAGACCGTTCCAGATAGCCGCAGAAGTGCATCTGAAGGCGTGCGATGCAGTGACAGTCTTTGGTCGATGCCTATAGAGCTGGGATAAAGCCGATTCATTGATAAAATAATTAAACTAATACTTCTTGTGGTCGATTCCTTACGGCCCCATTAAAATGACCACCTCTTTAAATAAAATTAACGTTAACCGCTTGCACGTTCCGAGATTCAGCGGTGAATGGGACACCCCCACCCTGCGACTGTCAGGCATCTCGGAACGGGAAAGGGTAAAGTGCAAAATTCGCATTCAATAAATTTTTGTCCTGTCATCAGTGAGCAGGCCAAGACCATCAACTCACTAAGACAGTTGGCCAGTTTAATCATGGGCCCACCGAAACCCACATTAATCCCCATGACTTCTATGGTGCCGGCTTAGTGCCCCCTACCCATGAGCCACCCAGCCACATTCAAAATGCCAGTTTTTGTCAAATGTATCTTGGTAACCAAAAGAATGGCAGCGTGCAATTGGGAAATGTACCCCCAGATGCACAAGTGATACAATACAAATGTAGTTAAATGTTCTGATGCCTCTATACATTCACATTTGTGTTCTTAACTGACATTCACAGGGCTTGTGTATTTCACACGAGTTGTGTTTATGTATGCATGTTGAACTTATTTCGCACCCTACGTGGCCGAGCATGCTAATTGAAGTTGCGGCGAAGGACAACAAACTAAAACACAAAAAGCAGTTCTGAAGAAATTAGCTTTCAATCTAGAATTAAAAGTGCAAAGCTCCAGTAGCTTCCTAATATCAGAAGGAAGAGCGTTCCAGACGGCCGCAGAAGCGCATCTGAAAGCGCGCGATGCAGTGACCGTCTTTGTTCGATGGTTAGCCAATTACCTCTGCGAGGATGACCAGAGTTCGCGTGATGGTTTATGCTTTTAGACACGATCAGCAAGATATTGTGGTTCATCACAGACCTCATGGGTTCACCAGACACTCAAGCACAGCTGATAACATCTGCTCGGTACTTTGTTTTTACAATCTATCAAGCAAAAGGGTCGACATAAGGCAGCAGTGTCGTTTAATTAACTTCTTCAACCAATGGAAAATAATTCGGAGGTTTTATTACAGACGTAAAAGCCAGTATTTATCAACCCCTGCTTATCCAAATATAATAGGTGTGCATCACAGCTGCAAGACACCAAAGCAAATAAATTAAATAAAGCAAAAGAGGTATTTTTAAAAGCATGAGTAAAACTAAATGAGAACATATTGAACCTGCAACCAGGCTCCAAATGTCTCAATTCTAATTGCTAATTTTCTGGAGAGAAAATAAAATCATTACACTGCAAATGTAGAAATGTTGCCAAGGATAAAATTGCTTTGGCAAATATAGGAACACACAAATGTAGACTGAAGCCAAGGTGTTAATTGATCGCCGAGATTCAATCAACGGAAGACAAAGTATGTCCAATTATTCACAACGGACATTTCTGAGAAATATTGGCTTCAACGCAGAACTTCTAATCGAGAGCCGAGTACACCAAGCGACGTGCCACCCACTCAATCGGGCATGACGGTAGCCCTTTTACTCACGGTGCCTTATGCAGATATAAACATGGCCGACGAAGTAGACGACGATGCTGGTACTTACCGATGTAGCTAACGAGGTCAGGTATTTTGGGAACCCTCAACTGAACTCCGTATTCTTCCCTGCTCTTGTCGAACAGGTAGACCAGCGACATGTTCCAGCAACCCTGCACATGTTGGATGTATTACAGTCATCATTGCCCATAGAATAAACTCTCCAACACACCGGTGTGCTGAACTATTTACGAATTGGCACGTTCTGTTTACGAGCTGGCTGTGTCGGGTGGTGGCGGGTTTAACGGCACATTTATATTTACGCAATCTAACCCAAAAAACCTCTATTATGGATAATATTGGTCATGAAAGCCCACGTGTTAAACAATCCTCATTGTCATCGTCATCACTCTTCCCCACGGGATACTGTGCGATCTATAAACATTTTCACAATTCAGCACAATGGATGTTATCTCTGATAACCCGCCACGAAGTCGCGAAGACAAATGCTGTTTAACGGGATAACGTGCCGTTGTTTGCCTGCTGGGCCGGGTGGCAAGCAGACTTCCACCCTCTGCTGTTCAGAAAAAGGAAGTGGCGGCATTACCGTAATAATTTGCTTCGCCTGCCGCGTGCGTTGACAGCGATTTGACTTTGTAGGAATGACATCTTTGTTGTTGTAACTTTCTGACCGCCCCCCCCTACTAGACATCTCTGAAAAATATCTTCATAGCCCATCGGATTTCTCCAAGCTAAATAAAGACTCTGATCCTGATTCTGACATGCACAAAGTGAAACTCAAATAAATAAGACACTGCGCCACACACTTCCGACGGGTAACACTTTTTGGAAGTTTGAGAGATTCGGGGTGATGATGGACGACGGTCAAGAATATTGACGGAGTGGCAGCCAAGGCATGGGACGTGTTCAGGAGAGGACATCCATCGATGAGACAGAGCGATTCAATTTCCGTTCGTGTGCAGGCCTGAGGTGGATTACTGCACCGCAAGACAGTAAGAGGTGGTGGCGGCTTGGGGAGGCCTTCATCCAGCAGTGGATTGCCCATGGCCGGGGATGATGACTACTTTTATTCACAAGCAAATACTTGTAGGTGCGTAAAGAAGCTTCCACTGGTTCACACACAGCAAGACCCAAACACACACACACAAATAAACAACAACAACCGCCATTCGCCACTAAGTGGCGGTGACATCAGCACGACGCTTGTGCCAGGCCATGTGCACAAACATCCACCGCCAATTATGTACACACACACACTAACAAAAATATACATATATCGCATTGGATTTTAGATTATCCGCACAGCATACCACAACATAAGAATGGTAGTGCACAACTCGTGTTTCCTTTGTTCATTTTTTAAAATGTAAATGTTTGTAATTTGTTTGCGTGTAGGTTATTCATGATAACGTTTTTTGGAATATATCACGTAAATGTACGTGCGTCGAAAATCCACCTCCACCCGACACAGGCAATGAGTAAGGTTTGTCTGTTTACGTTTGCACGGTTGTCCCGTGAGTGTATTGATATGCTACTTTATTTAGATGGTTCAATCGACGAATCCAAGATTCATGAAGCACCATATTCTGAAGCTTGGATGGCAATGAGAACATTTTACTGAACGTAAGAAACTGAAGAGAAAATCATTGTTTTTAGTCCGTTATTGAAAGCACCGCTGAGTAGACTTCAGTTGCCAGAGACTGTTCCAGACACCGGGGCTGCTTGCCAAAGCCGAGTAGATTTCACGCAGAGCAGCAGCAGGTCCATAGCAGATGAGCGTAGTGACAGTACAATATTGGCCGATGGCACTGCTCAAGCAGGTTGGTTGACCTGTTGTCTTTACTATAAAAGAAAGCACTGAGAACTTGCACTGCAATCTCTTATGCACCGATAACCAGTCCAGGGACTTCACAAGAGTCGAAGAGCACACGAGAAAGGCTCTGGCGAGGAGGGCGTTTTGGCGACGCTGGAGACGTTTGCCGAGGCCTTCACCGACTCCGTACAACAAAGAGTTGGAATTGTCCAGGCGTGTGGCACAGACTACACGTGATGCCATTTCTGATGTGATGTAGAGCTCGGGTGTGGTGAGTGCGTGACTAAATTAACTCGCTCATTTGTGATTTATTATTTGATATTATTTGTTTTTAACAATTACTATTGCCAATCGTTCCTGTCCCTTAATGTGCACCTTTTCCCAAATGTTATAGCATTGGATTCAATTATCAGTAACATTATTGATCCAACAATTTTGTCTCGGTCAGAGTAAAGCGCGGACATGTTGTGAATTCTACTCGAGCATTGTATGCAAATTGTACCTCATTTAAAATATTTCACGCAAACGTGTTTTAGTTTTCGATGCAAATTGAACCGTAAAAGCCAAAATGCCTCACCTATTTTGATGACATTACAGTCGGCACAAAACTCTTTCACCGTTCTTTTTTGCAAAAGCGCTTGCGTAATGAAAACTTAAGAATGGGGAATTTCCGCCAGGTGATGCGCGGGTTGAGAATAGCCATGAACACAACACAAGACTCATTTCAGCACGGAGGACACTTTGCTTGCCCACACGCCGGAGCGACCGCGTGAGCGAGCGACCACGCAGTGGGATCCGTACCTCGGGCAGGCACTGGTCCACGGGCTTGCGAGGGTCCAGCATGATGCCCGTCTCAAACAGCAGCTCCTGGTCGGCCACGGGGATGGTGGTGGATGCCATCACTTGCTCCTGCAGGTGCTGCAGGGACTCATCGGGCCGCACCGTGTACGCCAGCACCTCCCCCGTCACCATGTTGAGGATGTGCACCGTCTGCACGGAAATAACCAGCGGACTCGTTCACAACCCCGCCCCAGGGTGGTGCTCGTGTTACGCGTGCGCGGATCACCCGAAGCGGTTTATGCAAAGTGCCTCCCGAGTTCTTGGGCGAACATTGCGTCCGATTCGCGATATGAAGTGTTTTATTACTATTATTATTGGACGGTGAGAACAAATCGAGCAACTATATTTGCCCGGTGTTTTTTTTTTTCCCCAGAGTCGTTGGTAACCAGGGGTCCTGAGTGCAGAAAAATTGCGTGAATCTAGGCAGGAGGCGATTTGCGTCACGCTACAACAAAAACTTCGCAGCCTTTTCTCAGACACGGACGGCGCGTCAGCGGTCGCCGTGGACGACGTCACCACTCCCGCCTGTCCAGCCAATCGGCTGCTGTGGGGATTTTGGCATCAAGTTCCACGGACGCTACTTGTGCTGCAGCAGCAAGAGCAGCAGCGGCAGCTCTATTTCTCCTCTTCTCAGGGAGAAGAGTGAAATCTGCGTGCAAAAAGTTGGACGAGCGGTGGAGGGGGAGTGGAGGTGTAGCGGTTAGCGCGCTGCGCTACGAACCCTGCGGCCAGAGTTCAGTTCCCGTTCACGACCAAAAGCCAGTGACGATTATCTAAACCGGTCCTGGGCCTCCCCTCGGTCCACTAAAGCCTCAAGTGAGTACCTGGTGCGATTACACATCGTACCTGGTACGATGTGTATACATCGCCACTGGGGAGACAAAGGCAGCCGGGCGTGGTGCTGGCCACCCACCCCCCTCGTGTACCACGGTACAGGCCTTCACAGGTGCTGCTCACAAACAGCACTTGCCCCAAGAGTCTGTTAAGGCTATACAGGGGATCTTTGTCTTTGTTTTGTTACGATGTGGGTGGCGACGTCCACCTCCGTGAAGTGAACCCAGCAGCGTTTAGCGGCAGCGGTCGAGGCCACACGATAGAGGGGAGCGCGTGGCACAGGTAAGCACAGCCAATGTTGTTAATCTTCGAGTTATTTATTATATCGTGATAAATAATGTTAACCGTGTTAGAAAGGTTATCAAAGTTGATGTAGTATAAGGCAATGTTGGTAATATTGTAATTTCTTACGTTGTTATAAATAATGTTAACCAGCAAGAGTAACCGCTTTTGGGGTTTAGTTTGTTGTCCTTCCCCCGCACCTCCGTTTAGCATGGTTGGCTACGTACGGTGTTAAAAAATCATGTAAACCTTGTTATAATTAGACATTGATCATGTTATAACATTTTATTATGTGGTTATAAATGTTAACCATGTTAGAAAGGCTATCAAAGTTGATGGAGTATAATGCAATGTAATGTTACAATAGTTTATTATGTGATTATAAATAATGTTAACTATGTGAGAAAGTTTATCAAAGTTGATACATTAGAGTGCAATATTAAGGTTATAATGCGTAAGCCGTTTGGGTACTCGGGCCCCCATGATGATAAATGTGAGAACGTCGCAAAACCTGCGCACCTGCTGCTAAGCAGCAATGAACACGGAGTGCAGCCTGCAAACGTTGGACACTGGCATCCCTGCAGCCCCAAGGGGAAGGGTCACGCCCACACGAACACATGTCTAACTTCTGGGCATCTACTGTGGATCTACCATACCATTACCGACTGTATTTACTGTCATTATCCTCCACATGTTTACAGCCCTTTCGTCAATGGGATGTTCCCCGTGCCTGTGGGAGTTGTTGGGGTTATTTATTATTTGACCGTACACAAACCACACTGGTAAGTGCGGACTGGTGGAGATGGGGAGCATAGTCACACGAAAGCACAGAGGTACAATACAACAATGGATGTTGCACTCAACTGCCCACCACACACAGTCGAGCAGCCTGTAATCACCTGTTTGTACATGGTGGTGGTGACGAATCCGAGTACTACCCAGGTTCAAACCTGCTTAGCTTCCGAGGTCTGAAGAGACCGGGCAAACTCAGGTCATCCTCTACATCCTCAGGTTACAAACTACGTAGCTAACCATGCTGATCGCACCTCCGATTACCACGGTTGGTTAGGTACGGTGCAAACGAAATTCAACATATATATATACACACATAACAATGATGGATGCCGCTAGGCCGATGGGAAAAGGAAACCGGGCAGGCGAGGGCGCGTTGCAATGTGTCGTGCCTTGCTCGTGAGGATGGTGTCGAGGATGAGGAAGCACGTGGGCCGTCCCGTGCCTTCATCCACAGGGCCGCCCCTCTGCCGAGCGTTCCAGAAGAGCATGAGCTGCAGCCAGTGCTCCAGCTGCACCGCCAACACACTGGGCCAGGCCAAGCACGAAGCACAACCACGTCAACGCGCGGCGGAGAGAGATCACTGCAGGCTCGTTAATCGCAGTCACCTTTCATTAGTCGCTGTGACTCGAACATCAACTCTGGACCACAACCCTTCAACTTGGCCTGTACAGCAGGAACGCATTCATGAAATGATGACTTAAATCAGGTTATGAATAGATGTCCATTTCCAGACATTAAAGTCGAAGTCCAAAACCGAGAAAGCAAACATTGTTCTAAGGGTTGTAATGTGTGGAAATACACCTCTGGCAGCCTAAGTAACGACTGCTATAATCATCCAAGAGTAATGTGATTGATGTATCTAGCAATATATATATAACAGAAAATTTAAGAGGAACACAAGTGTATAAATCCCAACCGAAACACAACAGCAAATAGAAGCTTCCTGGCGTTTGGGTTAAGGTACATGCAGAAGATGTAGGGAGATGGGAAAGATTTAGCAACTTGGGTTGTTCAGAATACAAAGAGGCAGAAAAGCATCGCAGGTGTAATCTGCGTGAGAAGATTGCAGTGGGGTAAGACACGTGTACAGAACGGAGGAGGGAAAGGTGGCCGAGTTGGGCTGTAGTGCCACCCAAAGGCTAGCGACCACCTACACAGCTGGGTAAGTTTAAGAGCAGACCGTATTGGTCAGGTGTCGACCGTGCAACCGTTGCAGAATACGACAGGAGGATTAAAGTGATGGCGGGGCGATGTGTCATCGATGGTATTAGCCTCGGTAACCTATCGATCTTGAAGCTGTAATGCTAACCATATTCCCTTGTTTTCACATTATTCTTGTCTCGATCCTTAAAACCCCCGTTTCCCTGAATGTTTTTGTGTCCGTGAGCAACTGCGGTTGGGAAGGGGGGGCTGGCATGGGACTATATTCACGTACGAGTTAAGGTTGTGGGGCGCTGGGATGTGGCTGGAGAACTTGATATCTCGGTTCATCTCCTCCACAGCCACAATGTCGTGGGGGCCTTTCCGTATCACGATGCTGTGCCTTAAGCACAAGAGAACAGACACGCACGCACATATTAGGCAAAGTCACGCAAACAATAACAAGGCTCCTCACAGCCTTGTGATGACGCGGCAAAAAGAGCCACTTTGGATCTGTGCTTTTATCGCCACTGACAAAAAAAATCTTCCCAGAGAACCTTGCCGGATCGTTGGTACCGCCGTGTGACTGAGCACCAACTGTAAAGCACGGTGCATGGTGGGACGCGGCACCGCCAAACACAAGAGTCCGTCTGGATCTGCCCGCTGCCGACGCCTAGCAAACCGCACCGAGTGACGAAGCACGTGCAAAAAATAAACTCACTACGCAGGGGAAATGGTAGTGCAGCCTGCTAACAACCACGCAACTATATATATAGCCGGGCGGCGGTGGCACACGCCTGTAATCCAGCACTGTGGAGGCAGCGAGGGTTGGTGGATTGGACAAATGCTGTGAATCTCCCTTCCCATGGGCTTCAAGGAGGAGCCACACCCCTGGCTCGCTGGTAGGCAGTACAGCAGAAATGTGGACTCCACCTGTACCGTCTGTATAAGATGCAGTGTTGTTCCCTTGCACATATGGGTTTTCTCCGGGTGCTCGTGTTGCCTTCCACATGTGAACACTCATTTATTGGCTAAAAACATCTTAATATGTAGAGGACTGCAGAGCATGGTCACAATCGTTGGCGTCGGCTCACCGTCTGGCTACCTTCTCTATTGTCTGTGGTGCCTCGTGCCTCTGTGTTGGTCTCTTTGAGAGTGAGCGGAGCACTGTGCACCTTATGAGCTGAACTTTTTAATATTTATTATTGTATACAACCACAGATGTATTCAAATGAAAGTTATAAAAATCCATCATAAAACTCATATGAAATTTTTTTAATCCGATTAAAACCCCAGTGCTGCTGCACGGCAGACACAACAGAAGCTGGAGGGGGGGGGGGGAAGGATTTCGCCGTGGTTCTGGGTGACGACGGAGTGCGGGTCCCACCACTGCACGGGCTGCATGTTGGGCAGGAAGGGGCGGAATCCGGTGATGCACTCAAACACGACGGTGCCAAAGCTCCAGTAGTCCACCGACACCGTGTACTTCTGCCCTTCGAACAGCTCGGGGGCCTGGATCACGCGTGCGAGAAACGCACGTCCACGCGCGCGTCCGCACACTGGTAAGAATGTGTCAGTGTTTTTATTTTCGCGACCAATATGATCCATAAGAGGGTTTTGTTTGGGTTAGATCGCTTAAATATATTAAATCCGCCACCACCCGACACGGCCAATTAGTAAGGTTTGTCACATAAACAAAACATGCCAATTAGTTATTAATTGGCATTGGCTGCTGACATTTGGGCTACGCCCATTTCAAACCTTTAAAAGCAGTTGCCTTTAGAAGCTAACCCCCCTTTTCCTGAAAACGACCGCTTGTGTTGCGATCGAAACGTCGATTTTTTTTTTCTGTCTACGTGGCTTTACCGAAAGACCCAAAGAATATGAATTCCTGCAGTCACAAAAGCTTTAAGTCAAGATTTAATTAGTTACTAGTTCAGCACACCGGTGTGTTGTAGAGTAAACCCACAATATTTACAATTCAAGTACGATGTTTCGCCGGTAATTACAACCAATTTCATCAGGCGACAGCCAGAATTGTGCATAAATTAAAGAGCAAAAGGGCTAATTCACCAACAGGCATCTCCACTTATCCGTTATACAAATGCATCTCTCAAAGTCAAGATAGCATCGATCAAGTTATTTAGGATGTAATTTCTGGTGATCAAATTCACCGAATATGATGAGAACCTCATTTCAAATATCAATACCCAAGCTGCCCCGGTTTGTCCTGTGATCTGTGCCAGCCAGCCACCTTTCATGATATATGACCACACATTTCCGAGCATATATCTGTGAACATTGGAACCAATATAAATGTACGTAAATCATTAACAATCCCGGAACACATACAAATCTCTCCATGCGTACAAATACTTTTTGCAAGTGGACACACACAGAAAAAGGGGGTGGGTAGTGCGCTGTGGCAGAGTGTTTCATTGCACTGTGAACCGGGTTAAGTGCAACCAGAGTTAAATCATTCCTGACCACGGCTAACACGTTGTAAATACAGTATACATCGTGAAGTATGATGAAATAACTGCCCCATGACTGGCATGGTATGCGAAGGTCTTCAGCTAGCAGTGGATTGACAAAGGGGTGTAAATTAGTATTGCTATTACAGCAGACGCTCTGTTATCCAGCATCCATGGGGAATGGAATGTGCCGGTTAATCAAATAAACCAGTAACGCGAGAGATACTGATGATGGTTCACCAAATTTTACAATCACATAAAACTTTCAAGAAGGAAGCTAAACCTACATTTTAATCTATGATATAAGAAATATCATACTCTTTTACAGAGGTACTCACACCACTCAGTTGTAGAACATTCTAAGTTGATTGTAGATAAGCAGTGTGGCAGTTTAGAGTATAGTGTACAGGAGTACAGTACTCTATGTATGGACTTCCGCTCGCACCACCACTCGGCAATGTCCTGAAGCTTTCGTAAGCAACAGGTCTCTGATAAGCGCAACGCAGGATGCCGGATGGCTGTGTGAATCTTTCCGGATACTTGAAGGAAGATTGTATTTCCGTCGATGACAGATGCCGGTGAATAGAGCATTGCGGATGGTGAAGGGACGGAAAACAGAGCTTTTGCTGGATATAATTTACACACACACAGCATCATTAATGCAGGCAAGCTATGGTTTGCGTATGCCCTCACCAATTTACTAGAATGATGTCGCAATTAGTCTGTTGTATGGGTTCCCTTCACAGGATAAATGCTGACAATGTGCCAGTGTGATGCACTGGAGTACAACGTGGAGAGGCGATTAATGGTGGCGCAGTGTGGAAAGCGGAAATGTCATTCGTCTGCCTCAGGTGCACAAACACAATTTGCGTCATTATTATGATCATGGTTCAGTGTTAATACACACAATCAGATGTCTTGATTCATTCACCCTCATGGTGAATGTCATATAAAAGACCACACTGAGTCACTCTGGACTCTGAGGGCTCTCAGATTATTTCCAATGTGATACAGGTGTCACTAAAACTAATCGCACAAAATTAATCTCCATTATCAGATGTAAAAAAAAAACCCAGAACTCCCATGCTTTAAGCAGGAACACAGTAAACAGTATCATTACTCATAACAATCACTGTAAGCTCGTCAAAGACTTTATGCATAACAATTGCTTACATCGAACTGTTAAACCAGTTCATTGTTCACAGCAATTGTTGAAATTAAAGTTATCCTCATGGCCCCACTGGGTCTTGGGTAGTTATGTTCTTTAAAAAATAATTTTTGTGTTTAGTTTGATGTCCTTGCCCCGCACTTCCGATTAGCACAGTTGCGGGCGTTCGGTGCAAAAGACGTTCAACGTACATACACACATAGGTGCCCATTAACAGCGCTCGCCCTTACAGTCTGGGGGATCTCTATATTTTGTGCGTACTTACATGCAGGGCGGCCGGTCGCTGCAACAAAGGCGTGGAGGAGCTGCTGGCCATGGCGCTGGAGCACTTTGTTCAACGCACCCACACATACATGTTGACCAGTGCATCCTGGGTAAAGTGGCTGCCCTGATGCACCCGCGGGGGGGGGGGGGGGGGGGGGGGCGATGCCGGCGCTCACCAAGTACTGCAGAGTCCCCACGAAGGAGGTGCACAAGCTGCCCTGGTCCAGCTCCTTGGCATAGCCCAGGTCGATAATCTTGTAGATGACCTGCGCAGGAAGACACGGAGATGTTACATTTCAGAGAATTAACTATGCAAACGAGCCCCCATTACTTTTCACGCAGGTAAGAACACACTGACATACAGTATGCGCTGAACTTTCCCAGGGAAACTTGTTTTTTTTATTCCTGTAAACGATGGCAATGTGTTCAGGAACTAAATGCCAATGTCGGGGTCTGCCGGTCTCGATGAGGGCTTCAGTAGAGAGTTTGTGTGGTTTTCCTATTCCTCCATTGAAGGAGTAGAGTAGTTTACTGTGGTCCACAGTTTGGGTTGCATCGCCACAATCGCACTCTGTCCATTCATGAAGGACATGTGCATACCGACCTGTTGATGTTATTATACGGTTGTTGAGGGGAAACACTGTATAACCATGAAACACATTGCCTATGTAGTACTTGCTTGAAAGTGAATAACAGATGGATGGACAGAATGGCAGGCATAGTAACAGAGAGAACAACAACGCAAAATAACAAAATAAACAGCAGCACACATTATAATGCAATTACAAATTCAAGACGTAGATTGTCCCTAAGTGAAATACACACTTCACTTGATGGCCCTGAAATAACGATGGAAATTCCACCTTACAATGACGGTATACAGTCTCGCCATAGAACAAGCACTGGTGACTACCCACTGAGTGGTACCCATTTTACTCAACCCTCAGGGAAGATCGGCTGAATCGACACCCAAACAGGATTGGACTTCACAACCCTAAAATTGTGAACTGGCACTCTCCGACAAGTGACTCTCAGCTCTTACGGTGGCGAGATGTTAACTACCTCGCCTGGTATACAGGATGGCCGTACGTTCGAAACCCGACCTTGACACCTGTATATTTGCAGTTTGCATGTTCTCCTCGTGGTTGTGTGGATATTTTTACCAAATCCAGCATCGTGTGTTTTGTTTAGCTATGGAGAGAACATACAAACTCCACACTGAAAGACTCCCAAGTCTGAAATAGAACGTGTGTCCTTCTTGCTGTGAAGGGCAGTATTACCACTGCACCACCCAGCTATCTAAAATTGTGTTTGTATGTAGAACTTCTTTCGCACCATACGTTACCAACCATGTGAATCAGAGGTGTGGGAAACGATTGCAATTGCATACAATTGCGCAATGATTGCAACGACGACCGTGGCCGTAGTGTGGGTGGTGCACGACTGTGGCTGTCGTGTGGGTAGTGAACAACTGTGGCTGTCGTGTGGGTGGTGCACGACCGTGGCTGTCGTGTGGGTGGTGCACGACCGTGGCTGTCGTGTGGGTAGTGAACGACTGTGGCTGTCGTGTGGGTAGTGAACGACTGTGGCCGTAGTGTGGGTGGTGCACGACTGTGGCCGTAGTGTGGGTGGTGCACGACCGTGGCTGTCGTGTGGGTAGTGAACGACCGTGGCTGTCGTGTGGGTAGTGAACGACTGTGGCTGTCATGTTGGTGGTGCACGACTGTGGCTGTAGTGTGGGTGGTGCACGACCGTGGCTGTCGTGTGGGTGGTGCACGACCGTGGCTGTCGTGTGGGTAGTGAACGACTGTGGCTGTCATGTTGGTGGTGCACGACTGTGGCTGTCGTGTTGGTGGTGCACGACCGTGGCTGTCGTGTGGGTAGTGAACGACTGTGGCTGTCGTGTGGGTAGTGAATGACTGTGGCTGTCGTGTGGGTAGTGAACGACTGTGGCTGTCGTGTGGGTAGTGAACGACTGTGGCTGTCGTGTGGGTAGTGAACGACTGTGGCTGTCATGTTGGTGGTGCACGACCGTGGCTGTCGTGTGGGTGGTGCACGACCGTGGCTGTCGTGTTGGTAGTGCACGACTGTGGCTGTTGTGTGCGTAGTGAACGACTGTGGCTGTCGTGTTGGTGGTGCACGACTGTGGCTGTCGTGTTGGTAGTGCACGACTGTGGCTGTCGTGTGGGTGGTGCATAACAGTGGCTGTCGTGTGGGTGGTGCACGACCGTGGCTGTCGTGTGGGTAGTGAACGACTGTGGCTGTCATGTTGGTAGTGCACGACCGTGGCTGTCGTGTGCGTAGTGAACGACTGTGGCTGTAGTGTGGGTGGTGCACGACCGTGGCTGTCATGTTGGTGGTGCACGACCGTGGCTGTCGTGTGGGTGGTGAACGACTGTGGCTGTCGTGTGGGTAGTGAACAACTGTGGCTGTCGTGTGGGTAGTGAACGACTGTGGCTGTCGTGTGGGTGGTGCACGACCGTGGCTGTGGTGAAAGCACCCACCCGGTCCTGCTGCTGCTGCAGCACGATATTCTCGGGCTTCAGGTCGCGGTGGATGATGCGGTTGGTGTGCAGATACTGCACTGCTTGGGCTGCGGGGCCAAAGAAGGGCAACACAAACAAAGTCACAAGGAGGTTGGATTCTACCCCAATATCCACTGCCTCTGACGGAGGTCAGATAAACAAACCACTACTGACTGCCACCGAGAACTAGAGAAATAAAATCATCTCTAGGCCAGTGGTTGTTCTCAACCTCTTCTGGCTACTGTACCCCCCCCCCTTGCCTGACCCAAAATGGTTCTAGGTTACCACATGGATTTAAATGTTATCCTAGTAATTTCAGATTGGCTGATTCATACATGATTACTCCCCAACGACTCTCATGTACGTCATTATTTCAGTTATAAATCACCTCACTTACCCCCTGGGTCATTGCCACGTGTACCCCCGGAGGTCCGCGTACCCCCCACCCACCCCGTTGAGACCCACTGCTCGAGGTTAGTCGTTGTTAATCTTCCTGGGGCAGCGGACCACCGTCAACCCTGCAAACTGTTTTTGTGGACTGTCATGCATTGAAAAAAATATGTAACACAAATAACCTACGATTGGAACAATGCCAAACATGCCACGTTACTGGTAAGTAATTCTACACATATGCGCTTAAATTATGTATTGCCATTGTGGGTTGTGTGTATCTTTCACAAGTCGTATGTTACATTTTCATCATTCCCATTATCCGTAAAAAACACAGTTTGGCTAAACAAAATGTGTCATGCTTGTTTGTCTCATTCTTATTCACCAAGAGTAATTACAGACAAACAACCCTTAATGAACCGATGACAAAGAACGAATTCCACAACTTTTCTGATATCGCAATTTCAGATAACATCTGGATGAGGATAACAAAACGAATCAACACAGTTCCTCCCATGGATGAACTACATTTGTCCAGTGTACAAATTTTCACACGTCACAAACACACACATATATATATCCTGCCTATGCGAGGTGCATTCTTTGCCAGGTGTCATGAATGCAAGGCACATATTCCATAGCAGTTATTGGTCAGGGTGTGTAGATCTTTCCTGCAGTAATAAACACGTACATCGAAAAGTTCACAGCACCACCCACAGGCCAAACAGGTAGTATACGTAGAGTGTAACAATTCACATCAGTTCACAAATGCTGTACTAACTACTATTAACTATTTTTATTTTACCAGATTAGGCCCACGGAGCTTATATAGCTCATTTTTAGACGCGACCAGGCCACAAATGATAGATCAAAGAAGTGGCTTATCGTCATGGTGAAATTTATAGCAGCCAAATACTCTGAACGCACATTGATTCTAAATGTGGAGGGAAAATCGGAGGCCCCGGAGTAAAATCCACGCGACCATGGGGAGAGGGCCATGCAAACTCAAAATATACAGCAAGCATTATCAGGCTCGGGTTCTAACCCACGACCTCCTGCATACCAGGTAAGGTAGTTAACATTTCATCACCACAAGCATGCAGGTGTGTCTATGTGCAAAGACAAAGATTCCCCGTATAGCCTTTAACAGATGTTTGGGGCAAGTGCTATAAGCAAGCACCTATGAAGGCCAGTATGGCACACGAGGGGGTGGGTGGCCAATACCCTTCACCAACTTTGTCTTCCCAGTGCCGATGGCAACACACCACAGCAGGTACGCATATAACGCTAAGTCGACCTAGGGGACGCCCAGGACCGGTTTCAAATATTCGGCACTGTTATTGGTCGTGAGCGGGATTCCAACTTGGTTCATAGCGCTGTGCACCCACCACTGCTTCCCATTGTGTGCAATGCATCCACACACAGGCAACGTGGGGATTCATGCAAACCGGTGGCAGGGTTCTTGTTCTCATTATCACCACGAACACTCGGATACACTCGCGTATGTGTGTGGGCTCCTCTGTATGGACAGTACTGAAACAAGGATTGCATGTCTTAAAAGAAAACGCAACCCAAACAATAGCGTTTAATCCGTAGATACACAACTAAGCCGTTCATGTCAGCCTGTCCAACAGTGTATGAAGATTCCGTCTTCAAACACGTGTTGATGAAAAAATACCATATACTGTTGGCAGTGCATTTGCAATGTTGCTGCACTGATATCATGACTGCACTTTATAAGCACGCATGACAGTGACTTTATCGGCGTTTTTTCTTTTCTCCGTGAACGAAGCATCAAACGGCCCGGTATGTATCGTACGTATCTATAAAATAAATGTATTGTCTTTGGTAGTCGTCTTTAAAAAGAGGATAATTTGTACACTGGGAGTGAAAAAAATCTAAATCTGAGGCCGCATAAGACGACAAAATCAGTCCCGCTCATTACGTACAGATGTCGTAGATGACGGCCATGACGTCACATTCCCTCATCCCGCAGCAGTTCTCTGGCTTCAGCAGCACCTGCAGCAAACACCACCGCCATTCTGTCAGGCGCCGGATCTTCCAATGCAGACATTAAGTATCGGATGGTGTGCCGGGTTTGAGCAGTGTGTTTAGCTTGTTGTCCTTCCGCACTGGATATATCGCAGTAGCTTCTGCAACGTGTAATGTCACAGGTTTTTTTGATTGTTTAAACATGATAATTAGACTGTGGCATTCAGATTAAACAAGACGCGAATGCTGCTTGGAGGACAGCCGACGCAGGCTGCAGGAAGAGAGTTCACTGCACAGAGCGCAATTCACACTTCCGCTGCCCTTGTTCAATTCAACACGTAAGATGCAACTATTTTCGTGCGAGTATGGCTCACCGTTACTCGTTTTCCTCGATGTGGCGGTGGTGTTCGTTTTTCTTACATGGACATGCTAATCTCTCACAATACAATGGCCACCTCCACAGATTCGTCGTCATGGAGGTAGCTCAGCTCTCTGATCTGACATTTACATGCAAATTTCATCTCTAGCCCCGCCCACTTCGCTTATGACCCTTGGGCTACACCCATCTCAAACCTTTCTCACATCCTGCCTCAGCAGCTCTCCCGCTATATTTTTTCATATGATGACGATTGCTTGTGTTGCGATCGAAATGTCGTGATATTTTATAATTTTTCTATCTACGTGGCTTTACCGAAAGACCAAAACGAATATGAATAAGAATATGGCTTAAGTGTTATTTTATTTTATCGCACCATTTGCATTTCATTTTTCGCGTCAATTACCCTGTTTATACCCAACTCTTGTAATGTTTTTTTGCGTGCTGTGAAGCGCTCGGAGATGCGGTGGCATTTAGGCATTCTGTACATTGTCACCGAAAGCTGCTTGAACATGGAGCTGAACAAGGGGAGGGGAGAGAAGGGGCAGTGGACCTTGCGCAGGTCTCCGCCGGAGCAGTACTCCATGGCGAGCAGGGGCAGGTCCCTGGGACCCAGCGCCTTCTCCATCTCCTCGGGAACCTCGCGTGCTGACACCACGTTTGGGTGGTTCAGCCTGCAGACACACCACAAAGACAAAGATCAACCCACGTATAGTTTGAACAAGTACCGATGATGGCCGGCACGGCACACGAGGGGATTTGTGGCCAGAACCACGCCCGGCCGCCTTAAGTCACCCGAGTGGCAATGTTTACGCATCGCACCAGGTACTCATCTAAGACTGAGTCGACCTATGGGAGGCTCAGGACCGTTTCGAATAATAGTCACTTGTGTGGATCCTGAAAGGGAATCGAACAGCCTACACAAATGCAGCAATGGCTCAGAACAACGGGCTGCACATGCAGCCAGAAGAATGCTTCCCTCCTGTGCAGCGCAATGCACCTGACTGATGCGTGTTGCAAAGTCTGCTGACTAAACAAGTCGAGGCAAAGTGTCTCAATGCCCTAGCAAGTGCAAGATGGCACTCATTTCCAACTGTGGCCCTGCAAGGAGTGGTGTGAATTTCACACTTCGATGGTAGGAGCCAGTATATCTATATGGGACAACAACTGCTGACTTGTGCAGAGTGCTACTCTTGTATCAACCAAAACCAGACGATGAGTTTAGTCATCTCCCAAGCAGGAATTAAACTTTCAATCGTGCACGAGTCGGGTGCTTGGACCACGGCACCACGTGCAGCAGAATCCCTCGGCCGCAGATCCAGCAGACGAGGCCCCTCCATTGTCAAGCACAGCTCGTTACGCAAATACAATGGCACCACAGTAAATCGTGCTCAGCAAAGTGACTGAGCTAAAGTGAGCTGAACATCCACCTACGAGCGTGAGCTAAAGTAAGCCGAACATCCAACCACGAGCGTGAGCTAAAGTGAGCTGAACATTCACCCACGAGTGTGAGCTAAAGTGAGCCGCACAGCCACCCACGAGTGTGAGCTCAAGTGAGCTGCACAGCCACCCACGAGTGTGAGCTAAAGTGAGCCGAAGGGCCAACCACGAGTGTGAGCTCAAGTGATCTGAAGAGCCAACCACGAGTGTGAGCTCAAGTGAGCCGCACGTCCACTGACGAGCGTGAGCTAAAGTGAGCCGAAGGGCCAACCACGAGTGTGAGCAAAAGGAGCCGCACATCCACCCACGAGTGTGAGCTAAAGTGAGATGAACATCCAACCACGAGTGTGAGCTAAAGTGATCTGAAGGGCCAACCACGAGTGTGAGCTCAAGTGAGCCGCACAGCCGAACGAACAGCCAGTCACCTTGTCGGGAGTGACAAACTGGATTTTCTTAAGTGTCTCCAAAACAAAAAAATTTAACCAAAGACACAGAATTATGCAACAGCAACTTGGGCTTCATCACGTTGTTATTTTGTTTTGTCCCCAAGCACAAAGTATCGACAGGAACCAGGTGAGCGAGTAGACCGGTAAACCTGGAATGTTACTTTTTTTCATAAATTGATGACGTATCGGCAGTGGTGCACAATTCACTAAAAAACTCACACTGATGAACTGTTTTAAAATTTCATAAAATGTATACGTTAAATCAGTGACATTTCAGGTGATAACCACTTTTAATCACACAACCTGTCTGCAATGCATGGGGAGGAACTACATGACCCTAAACACAGACAGGCCTTGATGACAAACTGATAATAGTCATAACTACAACACCGGCAGCATTGTTCCTCTTTATTTTTAGTCAAAGGCGCAGGCGATGCTATTTACATATGGAATATTGGTGTACGAGTGAAGAAAAACGTTGTTGAAATAACTGACATGATTAGGACTCGGCGACATTTACCAGTGTGCTGACATTAGACGCACAGGAAGCTATGGCGATGGCTCTAATTGTGGTTGAATAAAACAGCAATTGACAGTGATGGTTGGTAAATATTTACTTTCAAACAAATTCATCGTCCTTTATGCAACTGTGGGAACCAAATCAGTTAAGACAACTCCCAATGTAGCTAACGTGCACGTAATCATTCACGGGTTGAAATGTATTCTGAAGCTCAGGACAGGCACATTGAAATATGCGCGTAGGAATCGATTAGTCGTACTTGTTGTATGTGAATGATGCAAATAAGCCCTGGAGCCAGCAGAGGCTCCTCTGCATGCACCACATGATGGCTGAATCAAATCGCACCTCCGAATTGTGATGACTCATCGGCTAGTAAGGCAGGCGAAAAATTACCACACATCTCATGCCAAGTAACGAGGCCCCTTTTGTCAAGGAGACCCAGGTACACAGGTTGAGGGGGAGGAGTTATTATCGTTACGGTTCACTGCACGTAATGCCCAAGTGGGGGACACAATGGGCATCTACGGTGGACAACGTCACAAGGTCTTTACAATTCACTTCAACAGCGAACGTTGAACTTTGGAATTTCACAACAGCAATGACTACACGGCTGTTCGCTGAGCAATGACGGCTGCATACTTTTGGCTGTGGATTTTTCTCCGGGTCCTCCGGTTTTTCCCTTCACATGGAGAAACACTCGTTGAAGAGTATTTGGCTGCTATAAAATTCCACGTGATGAGCCACTTCGTTGAGCTATCAATTGTGGACCAGGTCGCTTCTGAAAAAGAGCTAAATAGGTTAGTGGGCCTTACCTGGTAAAATAAAAAAAATTGTAGAATGGTGGTAAGAAGCAACAAACATGCAACAGTGCAAACAGCAGTGTCATGCACACATAATTCTACCTGCGTTCTGTACATAGCAACAGCAACCCCGAGACCCCTCAATGCAGCCCTGAGTCAGTCAACAAACCCACCTCTTCATGATCTGAATCTCCAGAACCCATCGCTCCCGATTCCTGGGACTCAGTTCCATCCGACAGGTCTTGACAGCTCGCTGCTCTCCATTGTCCTACACTCACATGAAAAGGACACACACAAACATATAAAGAACTCAATTAATGCCCTTAAGTAATCCTCAACAAAGCCCAAATACATTTGAATACCTTAAATCCCACAGTGATTCTTAAAACTCTTATATAGGATGCACCTATTTGGTATTTGGGCCAATTCCTTGAAAATGCGCACAAGGACACTCAAAATATTTTACAGTAGGATTTGAAAACAATCTTACTGTACTACATCCTCATCAGACTGTCCTGTCGCAAAAGATTCTCTGCCCGACAAACTCGTGCACAAAAACCTTGAGTTTAAACCCTACGAGAGCTTAAAATTAATTTGATGAACACAGCGTGGCGAGACAGCAATAAGCATTAGAGACGCTGTTAGCATGATTTTGCGTTTCTTAAATGACTATTTACATTAACATGTAGATATATACATATAAAGCAGATGGTGAACATTGGAATTTTTCCCTGAACTGATATACCCCCCTCTTGCTTTCTCAACCACAACACCATTTCCAAATCAGGTCTTTTTATTGGACCATAATAAGCACCATCACTTTACCCCACGAGTTACAGCATGCAAACTGCATCATTTATGTAACAATTTAATTTAAATTCCAAGCATCTGAGAAATCAAAAAATGCTTCCTTCACCCATTTCCACATTTCTATCTCAGAATGCATTTTCAACTTTAACTCAGTCCCCCTTCTCTCCCTGTTTTCCCCCCCAATGTAATTGATGTAAAGCGCCTTGAGATGTTACGATGAAAGATGCTATATAAACTGCAATTATTATTATCACCCACTCTTAATAAAGGATAAACAGTAAAACATTTTTATGTTTACATATGTAATATGTACAGTCGAATACAGGCGGTCCAATTTACTATAAGCCACGTTTACAACGTTTATAAAATGCCACCATGGATTGATTTATGCCGCAGAAACTTGATACACGATGCATCTAACGCGTTTTAACAGTCAGTCTGGTTAGCGATGTCACTTGGGCATAGAGCTTTTGTTATTCTCAAGTGTTTTTGTGGATATTTGACTCATTAAATATGGCCGATAAAAGGAAAAAACACAACGGCAAGTGATGTTTCTACCGTTTCTACTATCGATGGGAAAATAAAGTTCAATTTACGACGATGTTTCCAGGAAGCATTGTAGTAAAAGCGAAAACCGCCTGTACATACACATGTGTACTCACAAAAAAACCCGAAATAAAAAAACCCCCAGAGCCTCACTCAATGTACTGGCTTGCAGTCTTGTTGTTTCTCGATTGCTTCACCACTGAAAAATGGCATGTTGAGGGTTTCGAGAGTGTGTGGGTGCCTCTTCTTCATTTGTACGACGGTGACATTTCAAACTAATCCCGAGACAACCACGTAATCTGTCTCTTTGAGAAACACAATATGCACCCCTCGGTCCAACACCGTGCGATCACCTGAGCCCCACACACTCGGGCACCGAACCTATTGGCTCGTGCAGTGCGAGCACGATGACAAACATCGCTCGCATGTGGCACTGAGAATAGGCACAACAATCCATACATTTGAACTACATAATTATTGATCACATAACCAAGACACAATTTCTTCCGTTGAACTTCATCTTGGCAGTACAATCAAATGCACAATTGGAGGGAAACACAAGGCAGCACAGGGTTATTTGTCCATACTTCACGCTGGTCAGTGCAGGTTGATGAAGATGGGGGGGGGGGGTAATAGAATATATTGTGTCGCACTGCCCTCTGCCGTCCACAGAACCTATAGCACCTGTGATTGTGCTTGGTAGCCGCTCATCAGAGTACCACACAGGCTCCTCAACCTTCCAAGGTCTGAAGGGATCAGGCGCATTCAGGCTTATTAGGTCAGAGGTGTCTGTGTGTTGAATTTTTTTTTTATATCAGCCCCTGGCCCAGATTTATGGAACAGAAAGGTACCTTAAGAAAAGAGAGCCACTCTACGAGTGCCTTCACGTAGTCATACAAACAATGCAATATATTTAGGTTGCCCAGAAAAAATATATCACAAAGCATTTTCACTTCCTGCCATGAAAGGTTTGTAGGGCGTTGTAAAAATAGCTGGCTCTGTCCACGCAACAAGGCCTTATTCCTGGAAATATGCAGTTGATGTCACGAATTTGCAGACATAAACATTTTTTACGGAATTGCTTATGAAAAGGTCCTCATAATGAAGGGGTGTGGAAGTCTTCACATTATATGCACAGTGCTGGCTTTTTAGACCATATTTATTAAATTCTGTCTTTTTTACATCTCGTCACAGTGGCGAGATATTAAATTACCTCGGCTGGTTTGATCCCGACCCTGATGCCTGTATATTTGGGGTTTGCATGCTCTCCCCGTGGTCGCGTGAATTTTTCTCCGGGTCCTCCGGTTTTTCCCTCCACATTTAGAAACGTGCGTTTAGAGTGTTTGGCTGCCATAAATGTCCACGTGTTATTTGTGGCCAAGTCACTTCGGAAAAAGACCTAAATAGCTGAGTGGGTCTTACATGGTAAAATAAAATAAAAATAGTAATAGTTTAATTAACATTAATACTGCCAATCCAACTGCCACTCAACATACGCATCATCATTTATGTGTATCAAGAGTGGCAGGATGGTATGGGATTTTTTAGTTACTAATTACGGTATAATATTTTATCATGAGGCATGGTACGGTAAGTACGATATTTTTGTACCAACTCAGATGATCAACTAATTTAGAAGCTGAGCCTCTGATAATTAATCATTATACTCTCGTCTTTAAAGGCAGCTATCAAAAATTTAAATAAGCAGGCAAGATTCCTTTCTCAAAATTCCACTTACCACCATTGGAATTGGATAAAAATTTTAAGAATTTTGTTTAATCAATATATCGAAATGCGAATTTGGATTAAAATCTTTTTTGTCAATTCAAACAAAAACATCTAACATTTTAACAGACGTTTTGGGGTTTAAATAAGTATAACCCGTAAAAACAAAGTTTTTCACTATAAATCCTTTATATGCGTGGCAGCGAACTTAATATAAAGGATTTAAAAATATATTCGCCTGTGGAGGACGCGGGGATCGATCCCGCGACCTTTGGCATGGGAAGCGAGGGCGCTACCAACTGCGCTACTCCGCCACGGCCTGTGGAGGGGTTACGCTCTGGGCTCTTATACTGTGACGTTCAGCCAAAGCGATGAATGAGTTCTATTTGAATATATGTAAAATATTTTTTTTTTGCCTAAAAAGTGTAAAATTTTGGGAATTTTTTTTCACGAACATTAATTGTCTGGCACAACGAGTCTGTGTGGAAAATGTCAGCTCGATTGTATCACGGGAAGTGGGTTAAAAAACGACCGAAAGATTTGCACGGTCGTAAGCAAGCAAGCACGCAAGCAAGCAAGCATGCGAACTTAATATAAAGGATTTAAAAAGGATCTTCCTACAATAAATAAATAAGGCTTGCTTGTCATCTATACCTTATTTTCTAAGATTTTTTCTCTTAGGTACGATGTAAGGTACGAAATTACGGCATTCAATTTTACGGTACAAATTTTTTTTTCAAATGTACAGTACGACATTTTTCTCCAAGGCACGGTATGAAACAGGGGTATTTTTTTCTGAGGAAAAAAACTAAAATACCGCGTACCATACCGTGCTGCCACCCTTGATATGTGTAGCTCCACACACATACACGGGACTCGCGACCATTTGGATGACTCGTGCATCACGTATATTGTAACCGTACACAAGTATGGGGCCCCACATACTTTTCCAGCAATTCTTTATATATGTGTGTATAAAGCGATTTCACTCAGGCCAAAGTGTATCTCTGCACTGGTGATTAACAGGTGGTTTGCTCATCTTTCAATGGTGGCTCTGAACCAGTGGTGGAAAGTCAATGAGTATATATATGGCTTGGGCGAATGCAAAGCATATTCTTGAAGAAAAAAACTACAACACTGCAATGTGATTATTTTTTATTTGCCACTTGGAGAAGGGGAATTCCGCTTTCTATTTGTATAGTATTTCACAGATTGCAAGATTGTGGACAGCATTGTTAGCATTTTATTTTCTCAAGCAGCAAACTTAAAATGTCAATGCATATACAAAGGCATGACTGGATGATTTTTGGAAACATTACAGAAATTAATAAAATATTGACACCGCAAGCCAGGTCTGTGGGTGAAAAAGGCTTCAGATTTATCTGAAGAGAAGTGAGAAAATGCGTGATCCTAAGTCAATATTAAATGTTTGCCAACTAGACACCCTTCATCCTCAGCTTCAATTAATATTTTCAAGAAGAAATGTGTATTCTATCTCCAATAACATCGGGGGGGGGGGAATGTTGTGGAATTGTATTGCCGACGGCAGTCCCATGTTATCGTGTCAGAAAGAGGCTCTGGAAGACCCAATAAAGACTGCAACAGCTCACTCTTACCGGCACCAGAAAGTTTGCAGACATCACGACTGAAGAATTCATAGACTCTCGTACGGTTATAAACGTCACCGCTTTACAACATTTGGATAGAATTGTGTGAATTAAAAAGCAATAATAAGTACGTAATGTTTGTGCAATTACCAGCGACCAAGGCAGAAACAAATCAGATTGCCACCTTGCGGAACCTAGTTTAATATCGGGCAGATATTCAGAATAGAAGCCGACATCTCAGTGTTGTCATATGATAGCTGGAAGCAGCATAAATAACTACCTGATGCCTTCTCATGGACAACTACAGCACAAATAGACCACCATGCTATTTTGAGTGGTGCTAGAATATGCCGATGTAAATCATGTTGGTTCATTCAAGTTGTGTCACTTAGCAATCCCAGGAACATCTTTATTAATTTCAAGTTCACCCTTAGGGTCTGTCAATCATTCTCACGATGCCCTTCATGGTGAGAGGCGGGGGATATTCAAGGAAGGTGCTGAGCAGAAAGAAGCACGCACGATAATGCTAATCCTGATTTATTTTTTGGGGTACTTTTGTGAGTAATGAAACCTGGGTTGTTTGCATTTGGCAACTGACAGTGACGGAACAGTTTATGCGAATGCTGTCGCAACAGGCCACAAGTTTGGCATAACGGTCCTTCGCTGACTCTGAGTGATGAAAGAATGAATGTGATGGAGTAACCCGGGTTTTGGGCACGCAGGAGGAAGCTGGCAGAACTAAAAAGGGATCTAGAATTCCAAGCACCAATTACGACCAGAGCAAAGGAGAAGGCAGATTTGGACCTTGACAGAGCTGACTGATCCGATGAGCTAAAATACAGTGTAACTGGTGTTGGCCAAAATTTTAAATGCTGAAACATTTACTTGCAAATACTTAATTGGGATCACACACAGTAGCAACATCACCCGTTACTGCGAAAACTTGGCAAGGCCCTCCAGAAAATAAAACGGTTTTCAAAATTCAGCGAGGACTTCCATGGCAAACAAGCGCAGTAATCAAAAAATTATGCGAGCCTTCCAGATTCGGTGATGAATTTGACATGAAATACCAAATGCTTGATCCAACCATGCCACTTCAATGATCGAAATAAATGTGCAGACGCATATGCAAAAAAGGGACTAACGTTAGAAGTAAAATCAAGACAAAAGCAGTATACATATTAATTGCAACCTTACAAACACCGAAATGCTACATATATATTTAAAAAATGTAATACGATAATAAACGCAAAAAAGATTTTTTTAGGAAAATTGATCATTGGCATAACAATGCAATGGGCCTCGTCTTCAAAGCACGTGAATAAAGGCCAGGGAGCTAAGCGCAAAAGAGTTGGAGACTGTCCATGAGGCTTAATATCAATTACATTTTAAAATGGTTTCGAGAATATTTTTATTGGAATATGGTTAGTGCTAATGAGTAACAGACAACTCTTCAATATTCAAAAACGTATCATCACTAAACTCATTTTGTATTAAAATGCAAATGAAAAAATGTCGCCGGCACATTGCATTGTGGGTAGACCGTGTTGTAATGAAGTCAATGAACTCATCATGACCATAATTAACTTGTGCATTTCTTCGGCTTTCAATAATCATCCTCGTATTGGCAGCGGGTGGAAGGGGGAGGTGTGTGCGGGTGGGAGACGGGAGAGGCGGTACCTTGTTCTGCCACATGCACACATGGCCAAAGCCCCCGGCACCCAGCCGCTCCTTCCGCTCCCATGGCCCAGACTCCGCAGCCTGGTTCATCGTCCTCGCTCGGCCACTCCACCCTACGCACACCACGCTTGATCAACACCACGCGGACGATGAGACGGAATCAGTGGAGGGGGGCGGCACAGGAAATGGAGGCTCCGTGATAAGCTGGAGAAACATTTGCTTTAGACGTCTGGTGATCGTGGCTGAAATGGTGTTGATTCGTCGATGGTGGTTTTGAGTTCAATGATGAGCATGGTTTCCAATGAAAATGGTTTGTCACAAAACGTTTTCACAAGACATTCTAAAAATCGAAACATCTTCTTGCTTAAATCAGCAATGGGGTAACATTGTCTCTGTTGGAAACACTGCACCAGTAATGAAAAATCCATATTCTGAATGCCAGCCTCAGAAAAGCCACCTCCAAAGGATTGTCCGTGTTGAATATTCAATTACTGATATAAAGTGAATAGAAAATTAAGTATGTAGTATGCATGTAAAGTCACATTAAATACAAAACAATGAATAGCCTTGCTTAAAATAAATGCCAGAAATTAAACAAAATTTCATAAATGTATACAATTGCTTTGGGAACCGCTCATCTTTAGTTATACATTCAAGCCCTTAACCATCACCACAAGTTAACCTCGCTCTAGGTAATTTACTTTTACACAGCCGCATCGTAAGTGCAGGTAATATAACGCATGATTTATCAGTAAAGAGTGGTGATGTCATCGAGGCACTTGTTGTGCTGGCCTCCTTCCTGCAAGGCCAGATTCGCAGGTCGCAAGACAGACCGCTTAAACAGATTCTTTGTTCGGCCCGGTTGACGATTCGGAAGAAAAAAATAGTGCCAGCAACACCTTCCAAGGACAGAACAGTACGCAAGGTGGTGGTGTAGCTGGCACCACAGCCCTTTCACCTCCCTAGTGACAATGGTTGACAAAACTGTAGCAGCTACTCATACGAGATAGATTCATCCGAAGCCTTAGGTCAGGTTTAAATAACAATTGCCACTAATGTTCTAAACTACAAGAACATCTATGTTAATTTCACCAGATAAGGTCCAACGAGCTATATAGCTCTTGTTCAGAAGCGACCAGGCCACAAATGATAGCTTAACCAAGTGGATTATCTTTTGGAAATGTATTGAGCCAAATACTGTAAACGCGTTTCTAAACGTGAAGGGAAAAACGGGAATATCCAGAGAAAAATCCGCGAGATCACAGGAAGAACATACAAACTCCAAATATACAGGATCGAACCCACAACCTCCTGTATACCAGGCGAGGTAGTTAACATCTCGCCACCACGGCACCCTGTTGTGCTCTCTCTTTTCCCTCTGTCAGTCATTCACGGCGCCTGATGACGTGGCTGGACCAATTTCTCCCACTGATTTCTCTAGTCACGGCGATCGCTTCCTATGCAGCAACATATCAGGTTTGTCAAGTCCTCCTTTTGACGCCGTCCGATCACGGCAGTGCAAGGCCGCCAATGGCCATTTGTTGGCCTCCATTCTTTTTACGTGTCCAAAAAAAATTACGTCTGCTGCTTTTTTTTCTTTTCTGCACCAAAGTTGTTTTCTTGGCTTAGCGTTTGCCTTCTGGTGTTGTGCATTTACTGGGAATGAACCCAGGTCACCGACATGTAAGTGCTTTGTGATCATTGCTAAGCAACCTGCCTCCCAGGAATAATGCAGATATGTAATTACAATGTTGCGTATGGCAATGTGTTCAGGAGCTACGTGCCAATGTCGAGGTCTCCTAGCCATGAGAGGGCTCCATGAGAGAGTTAGTGTAGTTTTGCTAATCCTCCATTGAAGGAGTGCAGACTAAGTGGTTTACTGCATGGTCCATTGTTTGGGTTGCATGGCCACAGTCGCACTGTGGTGGCTTGTCTTTAATGTTTTCAGTTATCAAGTTGTGGCACATTGGCCTGTTGATGTTCTAATGCAGTTGATGGTTACGCCAGTAGGAAAGGCAAAGCCGGGAGGTTGCGATATTTGGGTCTCGAAAAGGTTATTTTGGACTTCTGCCGTGTTTCACTGTCTACCAGTGTTCTTCCTGACCTGGGCGAGATTCAAGGATGGTGACAGCACAATCCCAGAAGGGGGATATAGCCTTGAGTCAGTGGTGAGGTACATTGTTGAGGTCTTGGTTGATGGGTAAGTTGCCATTGGCAAAAAAATTTGTAAACTCCTTTGCACTTTGCATGTCTCTGCAGATGTTTGGTGGCAGAACAGGGATCCAGGTGATAGGTGTTGGTTTTCATCTTCCGGTTGTGATGCACATCGTGTTATTTAATTGTGCGTCTATCAGTTTTGTGAACGAGCTCCCGGACCAAGCTGGAGTGCAGTGACTCTGCCACCAAGTCGATCAGTGAGAGGGCGGCAGTTCGTAGGACATCAGCCGAGGGGTTCCAGGCCATCCCTGCAAGTTTCCGTAGCAGGGCGATTCTTGATTTAGTCTCTTTTTACAGATCTGTTTCATATGAGGCTTAAAATTCAGGCTTCTGTCTATGATAACTGCTGGAATTGTTATGTAAATGCAACAAACTATCGTGTGTGTGTGTACACAAGTTGGCACAGTGAGGCACACAGGTGGTATCCCTGGCAGTCATCTCAAGTCAGTTAACTCAAAACCCGTCCCTTGACCTGCCAGCGAGACTGACAATGTTTTTGTGATCGCCTTTGTCTTGTCAAATGATTGACCTGTTATGTGCCTGCTATTAGTGATTGTAGGTAATAACGACATCACTGACAGCTGTAACTCGCCAACTAGTCTGTAGCAGCTCATTGGATCATGCGACTGAGACTGACAGAGCGAACAAGCAGAACAAATGAGGCACAACAATAATCTGTTCTTGAATTGTGATGATCAAATGACAAATCATTGAAACACAGGGAGGAGGGAGGGATGGAGAGAGAGTTGAATGGTTAAATGCCAATCAACTCATACTTGAAATGGAAACCAGACTCTGAAGTGGCATTTATGCAATAACGAAAAGGCTTGGTGGCTGAGCAGCAATGATGATGCTCCTACAATTGAAATGTGAACTATGGGGGCAAGGCACTTGCGGTGCAAAGGCATGACAAGGGGAACACCGTATTTGTTTCGATTTGTTTATAATTTTCTATAAGTTAACATCTCGCCACCGAGATGTTAACTACTTCACGATACAGAAGCAATACAACGGCAGTAAAATGTCAGGGGGGAGGGGGGGGAAACCCCTCCGCACAGTTAGGAAGGTTTTTTCCCATTCAGCACCCAACGCGTGACCAGCCGGATGCCATCGGCGTGCAGTCACCACGGTATCATTCGAGTCATCTGGAAACTCTCGTGGGACCGTCAAAATTATTTTATACGAACGGTTCCCATGCCTTATCCAGATCTATTTTGGCCTGAATGTGTCGCGTAAACAAAACTCATAAACAAGTCGTCTTTATATATTTTACCATCCTCTGTTATTTTTTTTAAACGTCAAGTGAAGTTTATTTTGTTTAACCAGGCAGGAACTCAAGAGACCGGGATAAATCTCATTTTGCAAGAGTGACCTGGGTATGTGTTCCAACGCCCATCGGATTTGGAGGCCAGACTTCCCTATTTTCGTCCTTTAAATCGCTTTGTTAATTGGTGCGCGATCCCTTGCTGTCACTAACGGTCACCTTTCTAAGAGCAGGAAATCCTAATATGGGGTCCCCTCCTCATTCCGTAGGGCAGTGCAGGGAAAAATCTGAACCCCCTTGTGCACACAGGATTGTGGAATGTATATGTACTCAGGTTAACTTCACTGTTGTGTCGTTGTTGTTGTTGAAAATTCAAATAAAATAAAAGGAAATCCTCACTTGGTCTCAAGACTTTTTCAAGATGGTCCTGCAATGTGATGTTTGGTCAAATCCATAACAGTGAGAGAGTCTATGGCATACCCACAATCAGGGGCGGTTTCTTCGTTAGGGCGATTGGGCGACGCACCACCAATGTCATTCAACCACAGAGTCACGCTAGCCGTCACTGTGCCTCTGGATATAGTCCAATCAGCGTCATGCTACGTTCTGTGGAGTACCGCCTCTTTTTGGGCGATTTCCCTCCAGCTGAGAATCGCCCCGAGTGGTCCCATAGACTTACATTCAAAGATGTTTTTTTTTTCGAACGGGGGCGCTGCAATGCATTCTCTATGGCTTCCGGGAGGGCTCGCACTAACGTGCTTACGTCATCATACGTGCTTACGTCATCATACGTAAGCACGTTTCATCCAACAATATAATTTGTTGCCACCTAGTGGAATCTTTAATAAAATAAACTTGAGTGGTTTGTTTTAATAGTGAGTATAGAAACAAACAAGATGTATTGTAAGAGTCACTTTATTTTTCATTAATATTAAAGAAGTGAAGTTGTCTTTACATGCTTAAGCTGTTAATTTATCCATTGCATGGGTGGACCTTATCCTTATCAATCATCCAGACATTTGCCCCCCCTGAGAGATTTTGCAGGAACCACCACTGCCCACAATAACAGTCAAAACTACACACAAAGAGGCCAGAAAACCATTCTGCTGCTGTCTCCTGCCATCTCAGCCCAGCAGGTTGAGAGTGTCAAACACATTTGGAAAATATTCACCTGCCCTATGCACCTGCCATCCAAGGCACTGGAGTACAGGCATGTGCCACTGACACTTATACAACTGACATAATGCACAGTAGAAGCTCAATTTCTGGTATAATTTTACAAACTGAATCCAGGCCAAGCCAACCTCAGTTCTCATTTGCAGAGACCTGGATCAGGAGAACTCAACAAAATGAGCTATTTATATACGGTATTTATCTGCGTGTAAGTTTGATTACAGTTATTTGGGCTGATGTTCGTGTCCATAAATAAAACCCAAGAGAATAAATAAACGCCATCACTCGTGAAAGCCCAAGCGGTCACCACAGCCAATGCCGCTACACCTCACCATCGCTTCCTTCCTTCTGCCAGATCCCTGCAGCCGGTGCACATTGCGATGCCAACTCCACGGTGTGTTCATTCTTACACCCGTCCACCCCCCTTCTCAGACTCAATACTTCATTTCAGCTGGTGAGGCCCACTGAGCTAA